TTCCATCCATTTGACCCTGTTCCATTTGTTTGTAAACACCGTCTATAACTGTTACAGCAGAACGCTGACGATTCAATTGGACGTCAAGCGTTTAGTTAAACACGCTCTCCTTTGTCCATTTGCCCAAATAGAGTCTTTGACAGGCGTGGGACAATGTGACAATGTGACATAGATATACGTCACCGTGAGGCAACGTATTAGACAATAGCTTGCAACACAATAACAGCTGAGGCTTCGGGCTGACGATCGTATATCAAGCAAACATCCTTGTGCCGGCATGTTGTCATTGTTTCAATAATCTTGCTTGATCAATGTCCGTTAACCTGATATAGCCATTATATGTGCACAGTGGGAGTGTTCGCCTCTGGACCAGCGTGTTCTTTGAACCAAACAATGTAATTTTGTCCCGCTGTCGGCGGATCTGGTTTCTTATTAATATGTTTTCATTGTACGTCGTCTTCTCGAGATTTAACTGAATTAACCGATTCATAATTGATGTTTGAACTGGGTATGTTGACATCAATTCATATACATGGATGTGTTCCACGTGACAGGGAAACGGTCGACACGGCATGTAGGGCAACTATGGTTCATTTGTTGCAATGATCCGCTAGTATCAGGTTCGAATCCACGCTTGCCCTGGTGGGGATTTTATCCCCCGAAAAAGGAAATTGTCCTCGAAATGTTTTTAAAAAGTAATTGTACTTCATATTATTGGAAAAAGAAATCGTTTGCCATAGAAGTTTTCTTGATGCAATGTGAATTTCAGTAGAAAAATAGTTTGGCTCATAGCTGTAATTGAAATATATATCTGGGTTTTTTCAGCTGTACAAAATCCCAGCCCCACACCCCGACCAGAACCCCCACCCCCAGAATATCATAATGTCGGTCACTAGCTCAAATACTGCTCGGAGCAACGTAAAGCCCAACTCACTCACTTCGTCACTATGACTGTGGGTTCGAATCCAGGTCCGCCCTGATTATGCTCGTGGGTTACACCAAAGTGGTTATCGTCTGAGATCTGCATCACTTCGGGCTTTCCTCCGAAATTACGCCGTGATATAACTGAAATACTGTTCAAAGCGCCATTAAACCAAACTCACTCTCTCACCAGTGCAGATATTTACAAAGGCAACACGGAAGCTACTGATATAAAAGTTAACACTAATTATGGGTCCGCCAAATTGGTTATTGTTTATGTTTTCATTTCCTTACACAACATTTCTGTTCTTTCTTCCTTAAACTCCCAGGAATATGGAAGTGTTTCATCATCAGTGTTCAGACTACGTACCCAGGTTCATATACACGTTGCGGGAACGTCTGTATCTTAATTGATTCCCTGATATTTTAAGGAAATCCCACACAAACTGTCAATGAATGTGAATCAGAAAATATTGGCAAACAGTTTGATGATGACATCGACCCTGACCTTCCAACATGGAGTCTATGCAAGGCCGTAGTTAACTCTTTTTTTGACATTTACTCAATTATTTTATTTCTATATAAAAAAAACGCCACAGTAAAATACAATTACATGTCTGTACAAATCGAAAACCTTGCAACAGCATTGCATTGCAGAATGAGTGTGTGATTTGGTTTTAACGCCGCTTGAAAAGGTTCTAGACTTTCACGAGTTGGTCAAACTCGCGACCACGGGGATGGTGCGGACATACCAAAGATCACAATCAGAAGGAATGGATTCGAACTCACAATTACCAACCCTGGCATTCAAGGTCACACGGTCAAAGGGCTGGACTAACGCATAGTCCCTGAAAATATGTAATTTTGATAGAAACAAGCAAATCCATTTAAATTGAAGAGGAGCTCCAGTGAGTTGGGAAATTCTGCATTTCAGTAAAGGCTGGGCGGAGGGAAACCAACAATGTTCAGGGACTGTGAGACAGGCTATCAATGGGCAAGCCATGCCACTTCTTGATGTTTGACTTCGTTTATGTTTGACCCAGGTTGAAATGTTGAATCTGTGGATAAACATCCATGTCTGTGTGTGTGTGTGTCTGTCTGTGTGTCTGTCTGTCTGTAGTGTAGTGTAGTTCCCGGACAGGTTCATCGTTGGGTAAAGACAAAAGTAGGTCAATCCCTACTTCTTCGTGTTTGTCCAATATTTAATCGTTTAGATAAGATGTGTGTTCTAGTAACACACGCTGACCCATGACCTGGACAGACACCCGATCCCATGCTCTTCTCCTGAACTGTAGGCCGATATACAAGGCTGCACAAAAAATGTTTCTAGGGCACATTTTACAGAAGTGAGGAGGGAGGTAGGACTTGAAAAAAATTTCTTATTACAAACCATCTTGATGTGGGAGAAACAGTATTTATTTTTTCCCACCAAGAATATTTACACGACACTTTGCTCACATTGAACTCAACTCGTAAAAGTGGTCAGCTGTCAGACAGGGCTTGTTATTAACAGAGTCTGCATCATATAATGCGGGAAACTTATAAATATGTTTTTTTTCATTGGCTATTAAAATGACTGACGAGCAAGATTGTCCAAGAAACATTTCTGGGCTTTTTTCGCTGAAGTCAAGTGTAATCTTAACCGTTTGTTTGTTTGTTGTTTAACGCCGCACTCAGCAATATTTCAGCTATGTGACGGCGGTCTGTACATAATCGAGTCTGGACCAGACGATCCAGTGATTGACATCATCGATGTACGCATTTGGGATACAATGACATGCAACAACCAAGTCAGCGAGCCTGACCACCCGATCCTGTTAGTAACCTCTCAAGACAAGCATGTGTTACTGAAGACCTATTCTCTACCCTGATCTTCACGGGTCGTTCATTTTATAAATAACAGAGTATGCTTCATATAACGCGGGGAACTTGAAAGATAATTATGTTTTTTTCATTGGCTATAAAAATTACTGACGTCCAGAATTTAAAGTGACGCGCCCGAGAAACATTTCTATTTTCTAAGTCAAGTTTCATCTTAACTATACTCCATGGCAATGTGAATGATATCATATATGAATAGATTCTATATCATTGATGATATTGACTATATGGCTTTAAAGATTTATTAATGTTATATACACACAACGAACTCTACAAGATTTTACGCGGTATTTCGGCCAAAAAGAAAATCGCTTCTCAAACAGCTGTTGGTCTTCAGCAACCCATGCTTGCCGTAAAAGACGACTATGCTTGTCGTGAAAGGCAACTAACGGGATCGGGTTATGGTCAGACTCGCTGACTTGGTTGATGCATGTCATCGTATCCCACTTGCATGGATCGATGCTCATGATGTCAATCACTGGACTGTCTGGTCCAGACTTGATTATTTACAGACCTTCACCATTCAGCTGGAATATTGCTGAGTGCTGCATTAAACAACAAACAAACACTTTTGGGAATGAAAATTAATAGACTTAGTCTTAGTCTCTGAACATATAATTTTGATAGAAAAAAGCAACTCAATTTATTTTTAAAGGAAACTGCGATAAGCTTTGAACGCGACATTAAGCCCTATTTCAACTCACTTAGCACGCTGAAATTTTACGTACGCTTGTCGGTACTTGTTATCAAGCTTAACAAGACCTTGATCAAATTGACACTCTAAAAATAGGGTTCAAATTCCCCTCCGACTGTCAAAAGATAATGTGCGATTTTAAGGTTGTTACAAGCCGGGTTGTAAGATAACGCTTCAAAGTTGCACACATCACAACCGCTTTGTGCATTAAATCCGGGTCCATTCTGTCGCCCCTTTATGTGTTCGATAACTGTTGTCATGTGCTTGTGTTGGATAAGAGTGTGGTATAATAAACGATAGGGATGTTCATTTAAAAACTGATAAAGAATGATTTTTGTGTAATATTCCGATATCACAGCCCTGTCCTCGTTATGATAAAGGTTTATCACACATATATATATATGAGGTGGCAAACTGACACAGAACAAAGTCATGGTGTTATCTTAACCGAGGCTGTTATCTGAATACATGATAACTTAGCTGTACCCATCCTAACTGGACTGGCGTTCCTTCGCCATTGCTAGGCATCCACCCCCTACAGGTCGCGCAGATCTCCCGTGTCTAATTCCCCTAGGTGAGTCGAGGTCTATACACTGAACTTGTGCACAGAAACTTTACTCTGTAGTAATGTCGGGTAAAGTAAATGTTAATTCATAAATGTATTTTTTTTCCTCCCAGATTCAAACACAGAAACGCCATGACACAAATTTATATCAGTCAAACTGAATAGTGTCTAAGTTTCGCTTGTTCTATATACGAACAATAATATTTATATGATTCAGATTATTGGGCGTCATAATTCGATAGAATCACTGTGGATTACTTTTATTAAATCTACTACCGATATTATATTGATAACCTACTTCTGAGTTACACAGCCCGTGTCATATGAATGCAGTATGTGTGTGTACACAATACTGTTGCTGTCACTCGTCTTCCTAGTTTCATAGTAAAAGCCCGGATGCATTTTGCTTAGCTCAAGTGCAGTTCGAAACTGGTGGTATGACAGTTGTTATTCAGTTTCCTAAATGCTGGTCCGCGTCACAAGTTGGCAGGACAGCTGGTTTTTGTACATACAGGCGAACAAATGCATGAAGAACGCCATCTCACTGATTCACGTGGTACATGCTGTACAGTTGCGTCTGTCACAGTTGTAGAGGAAGCGAAAGATGTGGTAGTGGTAGAAGATAGACGAGTAGTGGTATTATCAGTCGTCTTCATCGTCGTCATCGTAGTAGCAGTAGTAGTAGTAGGAGGAGTAGGAGTAGTAGTAGTAGTAGTAATAATAGTGGTAGTAAATGGTAGTGGTGGTTGTTGTGGTGGTAGTAGTAGTAGTAGTAGTAGTAGTAGTAGTAGTTGTTGTTCGTCTATTTGTTGTAGTTCAAGTAATAGCTTCCGCTGTACAACTCTATGAAACTGTTCTGGGATATTGCAGTATAAATCTTAGTTTCACTCGCGCTGTAAGCCTTGTGACAATGACTGACAATGTGTTTCCCTGCTGCAGGTACAGCGGTCATGGCGGGCGCCCAGGGCCCCTTGTTCGCTTCCCTGTATGGTGACCGTGATCCTGTCAGCGTGCTGATGGAGTATGGCCAGACGAGGGAGGTCACGGTGGAGTTCACGGACTTCTCTCGCTCCGGACCAGACCACGCCTCTTGGTAAGTGCCCCGGAGACAATTAATACACCAGTGCATCTGGGGACTAAATCGATTCATTGCACAGGGCCGAACGAAAGCCTTGTGGTTAAAGCGTTCGCCTGTCACGCCGGAGGCCCGAGTTCTATTCCCCATATGGGTGCAATGGGGACGCCCACTTCCGGTGTCCCCCCGACGTGTTGTTGCTGAATAATTGCTAAACGCGGCGCAAAACCACACTCACTCACTCGCCATAACGCTCGATTAACACGTGCGCGTGTGATGTTAAGCCAGAATGTTGTTTCTTAAGGTATAATATATTATCATGTTGATATCACCGCGACCCGTGAAGATCCGGGGTAGAATAGGTCTTCAGCAACCCATGCTTGCCGTAAAAGACGACTATGCTTGTCGTAAGAGGCGACTAACGGGATCGGGTGGTCAGGCTCGCTGACTTGGTTGATGCTTGTCATCAAGTCTTAAATGCGTGGATCGATGCTCATGATGTCAATCACTGGATTGTCTGATCCAGACTCGAATATGTATACAGAGCGCCGTCATATAGCTGGAATATTGCTGAGTGCGGCGTTAAACAACAATTAAACAAACAAAATGATATCATCGCCTTATCAGCCAAGCGATAATTATTTCTGAGGGGAGATATCGCGACAATGATATTGCATCACAGTGCTTTGAAGACAATTGTGACGTCTTCGTTATCATGACGTCACAATCAAATAACGTCACTCATCTCTGTTTTGACACTCAAGACACTGGTTTGTAGTGTTTGCAAAGACTATTGCACTTAGATAGCGACGAGCATGCATGTGTGTTAGTGTAAGTGTGAGATTCAATTTTGCAGTTTAACATGGATACCAAACCCAGACACAGCATACTGACTCCGAGCCGACCACTTCACCATGCAGGCGGTCAGATTCATCAATACAACCAGGGGTGGCTTTGTTTTAGATTCTGTGCATGAACTATCGTTATTCGCCTTATTACTTCGTTAAACCACGAGTTGACTGCACTGGATATGATACGTGACAACAATGTCCTTTCTGTCCCCAGCTTCCACACCGCCGCTGTAGTAGACGGTGTCCAGCACGTTGACGGCGTGGGGTCGTCCAAGAAGGTGGCGAAGAAGGAGGCGGCTGAAAAGGCTCTGAAGACCATCTATGACAAGGGACGCAAGAAGTTGAAAGAAGCCAACTTTGAAATGGTTTGTGTATCTATCATGTCTTCTTTGTGGGCGTGTCACCCCACACTTTAAAATCTAAATCATGCTATTCCAGCAAAGTTTATGTGAAGGAGAAAGTCTGCAATCTGATTTGTTTCGCACGTGAGGGTTGTTCGAGGTCGTGAGGCTAGGTTATTGGGCCGTGTACAAGCATCACATGCGAAACTAATCGCCTGATTGCGGACTTTCTCGACACGTTACCTGGCACGTGCAAACACAATTCACCAGAGTCTGACCTTGACCTTCAAAACCAGGGGTCCTGGGGACCCCAACAGCTAATTGCAAGGGTCCTTACAGGAGTGAGTGAGTGAGTGAGTATGGTTTTTACGCCGCTTTTAGCAATATTCCAGCAAAATCACGGCGGGGGACACCAGAAATGGGCTTCACACATTGTACTCATGTCGGGAATCGAACTTCGGCGTGACGAGCAAACGCTTTAACCACTAGGCTACCCGACCGCCCCCCTTACAGGAAATATAAGGGTGATGTAACGTAAGGAAATGGTGTAGTGTAGTGTTCTGTATGATTTGATAATTACTAAAATAACAGGACCATATTATTTCTTGTCAAGAATTTGGTATGAATATTATTGTGCATTCCTGGAAACGCTGTATATTTCTATGCTAAAACGGGGTCACGGGGGCGCTTCGCTGTGCAGAGTTGCGTCCCTTGGGCCTGCATCACTTCGGGCTTTCCTCCCACATTAAGCAGGCCCGCCGCGATGTAACTTGAATACTGTTAAAAGCGGCGTTAAACCCAACTCATTCACTACACATGCTGACTGGACGCACATTTCTGCGTCGTGTAAAACCCTGAATTAAGGATTATTGTAGATTAGAGAACTAACCTCGTCTACCCCATGTGTTATAGGTCTCAATTATAGTCGCAAATGTCAATATAACTTCGTTTTAGTATGTGCAAAAGAAGTTAATTCTTTGTTCGTAAAGAGAATCTGTTCATATCAAGTTGTATGTCAAACGTCTCCACTCGGGTCTTTCCGTAGGCCACACGAAGGCACGTCCCGGACTGACACGAATTGATTGTTTCGAGATAACACTGCTTCAGAAAATCATCTCGGGTCGGAAATCGCTCGATGATGCTCATTTCTAGTCTAGAAAAAAATAAATTAGTTCTCTGTTTAACTTCAGAAACTCCCGTGTATAAAGTTTATTTCGACTGGAACGAGATTACCGTCACTGGGTAGAAATAAATAGAAAATAAACATGCTCCGAGTATGAGCTCGTGGAGTATGAGTATGAGCCTTTAGCAATACTCCAGCAATGTCATGGCGGGGGATACCAGATATGGACTTCACACATGTACCGATGTCGGGAATCGAGCCCGGGTCTTCGGCGTGACGAGCGAACGCTTTAACCACTAGGCTACCCGACCGCCCCTCCAGAGTAAAGATCTAATTTTAAGATATTGCCGAAACTTTTTATTTCAACACATACCAAAAGGAAATAGGAGACGAGTCAATTGGGCCTATATTTTATATTGTACTCCGAATCCCCACGGGGATGTTGACGGGCCACCCAGTGCACCCCTGAGGATTCCGGGACGGACACACATCCCCTACATCCCACGATTGTCGTAATAGCCGACGTAAGTGGGTATCAGATGGCCACAATGCGTGGCCTGGCTGATCGTGTGTAATCGTATCTGGAGATCCTGGGTAGAATAGGTCTTCAGCAACCCAGTCTTGCCGAAAAGGCGACAATTCAGTGATTGACATTATGAGCATCGATCAACGCATTTGAGATTCGATGACAAGCAAGAACCAAGTAAGCGAGCCTGACCACCCGATCCCGTTAGTCGCCTCTACGACAAGCATGGGTTGCTGAAGACCTATTCTCACCCGGATGTTCACGGGTCATGAACGCTAGTTGTACAACAGTATGTGTTAAGGTCTTTACAATAATGGAACAATATTTTTTTCAGAACAACACCTTTGAAGATCAGACTGACTTGAGCCACGCCCACAAGATCAAACTTCTGACCCGCGGTGTGTTGGAGTTAGCGGAGGAAACACAACTGGTCTATTACACCAAAGACAAGATCGCAGCCGCCATTGTTCTCGAAATGCATCATGGGAGGTTTGTGGCTGTTGGCCTCGGAACAGGTGCGTTTTCAACATCCTATTTTCCAAATCCCATGTTACCTTTAAAATATACATTTCCTCAAACGCTGAATCTAACCAAAACTTGTAGAGTGATCAATTTACAAAGAAGTCCAAAAGTTATATGAGATGCATTGTTTCATGTTGTATATATATTGAATTAGCTATTACAATCAGTTGAAACAATGTTGCTGTTTTGAGTATTGAATAGTATAAGTACTCAGGATTTAGAAAATAAACTCTGAACACGTTTTGCTTTCACAGAGACAGAAAAAAGGTAAAGGTTAAAGGTTAAGTTTGTTTCACCTTCATGTGCTGACCTTCACCTACTGATCTGGCTGGCGTGTGTTTAGTTGTTGGCGTTGTGTTGTTCCCGAACGTTGCCGTGCATGTCGGTGTTGTACTTAGACAGGAGTGTAGATGACGAACAATGTAGGCTGCCATGCATAGCATGCAATGAGACATCTCCAGTAGATTTGTGTTGTTTCCCTTTAAAAAGTCCCCTCGACCCGTGAAGATCCGGGTCTTCAACAACCCATGCTTGTCGTAAGACGCGACCAATAGGATCAGGTGGTCAGGTTGGTTGACTTGGTTGATGCATGTTGTGGTATCCATGGTATGGTAGATTGACGCTCATGATGTCAATCACTGGATTGTCTGTTCCGGACACGATTATTTACAGACCGCTGTCATATAGCTAGAATATTGCTGAGCGCGGCGTTAAACAACAAACAAACGAAAGCTTCCACAGTTATTAAGATCTTCAAAGAATCGGACAGAACATAAATATCAGTATGAATTTGAACAGCTCACCTCGACTGATCTCATATAGACAACGGAATCTACTCGCCTGTTGAAAATAACCTTTGAGTTGTGTTATGTCATTGCACTGAAAAGATTCAAAATGATACATAACTATACAATGGTCATTACTGAAACCAATAACCCAACCATGAAATCATTTTTTTACAGTTCGCGTATAGTATACGTATGCATGTAGTACTAATATACTCAACTATTTACCTGTTTACCATGCATTTAACATTTCGTACTACGTTATGGTGATGTGGTTATTAGCAGAAGATGTTTCCCTCTTCTTACCTGCATTTACACCTGTCCGGCGTTCCAGGTAACAGATGTATACTCCATCAACACATGCTAGACGATGGCAGCAGAATCATCCACTCACACGCAGAGATCATCGCAAAGCGAGCTTTCATCAGGTAAAGGGATCGCCTCCACTCGTTGTTGCACATCTCAAAGCATTCGTCATCACTCGCCCCTTTCCGTAACCTGCAAGGAACCTCGCCCCCCATTCGTGACCAACTCGTGTTATTCCGTGTTATACTCGTGACCCTCTCATGGCCATTTTGTGCGACCGGGTTCCGTCTCAGCGCAAACGGGCATACCTAAAACCATTGTCAACTCGTTGCGTAATGGTTCACATATATTTCCCCATATATTATATATATTTCAGATGCAATTTAAAGCACATCGGGACGTGCGGAATTATACAGTATGATTGAACACACTTAACTGTGTCTTGGGTATATTTTTAGACGCAGGACATATGTAAAATCAAAAATTATTTCTGAGGGATTCTCTGATGAAGAACTAGAAATCATACGCGCATTCTGATTGGTTTGTCGTATTTTAGCACATAACATTCATCGATAGGGGGACGAGTCTTCTTGCAGGTTACGGAAAGGGGCGAGTGGTGACGAATGCCTCGCCCCCCTATCGATGAATGTTATGTGCGAAAATACGACAAACCAATCAGAATGCGCGTACTTCGGTTAAAGAATCCCTCAGGAGTATTTTTTTCATTTTGAAATTAAACCCAAGATACAGTTAAATGTGTTCAATCATACTGTAAAATACTGTAAGTTCCGACGTGTTTTTGTAGTATCTAGAATATATACGATAAATAGAGGTATATACGTGAATCATTACGCAACGAGTTGACAATTCTTTTGGAACCCTGTCGCAAAAATGGCCACTAGAGGGGCACAAGTCGCTGTTCGACTTGACCCGGATTAACACGAGTTAGTCACGATTGGCAAATGGTTGATGGATGAATTTCCAATCGTATAAGATATTTGTGTTTGGTAGTCATGTAACACATGTGCTATATTAGTTTAAAACAAAACACCAAATGAGTTAATTATATATAGTGTTAGAATGCCTTATTACACTTAGTAAACATTTATATCGATTTAAAGGTGCTCGGGAATACTATGTACAATAAAAATACATATATAACGAAAACGCTTGTATCGAACTGCCGGATTTAACGAACTTATTTTTTGGTCCCGGCAATTTGCTGTATATACGCTTATAACAAACTACAGTTATAACAGACTAAAGTTACTGGTCCCTTTAAGTTCATTATAACCGTAGTTTACTGTATTGTAAAAGTGGTTGGGCGGTTCTCCACCCTATCCACAAAGCTCCCCCACCCTACCTGATATAACGTGTGTCTTGTGTCTGTATGTCCTTGTTTTTCCGTCTTCCCCGATATAACGTGTGTCATGTGTTTGTATGCCCTTCTTTTTCCGTCCTCCCTGATATTACGTGTGTTTTGTGTCTGAGTGTCCTTGTGTTTTCCGTCCTCCAGGTACTTGTACAAGCAGCTGGAGAGGTACGAGGACCGGAGAGGACATCATCTGTTCGAGAGGAACCCCGTCACTGGGAAGCTGAAGATCAGGGATGACGTCAAACTTCACCTCTACATCAGTCGGCCGCCGTGTGGAGACGCTTCCGCTTTCCCCACTATAGGGTGAGTCGTGGTATAATGAGGTACATGCTCCCGAGAACGTCTAATGAGGTAACGGTAATGACGTGTTATAACGATGTAGGATGATGATATTTCGCACTGTGCAGTAATGTGATGCTTTCAACATTTTGTCCTTGGTGAAGCTTTGGAGATGCATACATGTCGTGTATCTGAATATATTCACTTCAGTCTCAGGCTGACTAAGTTTTACATTAATATTAAAGCGTTCTACGAAGTGATCTTAGCGCTGCGACTTCAATGTCAATGTTGAAGAATGGGAGTTACGATCGTTTAAGCGCCGCGACTTCGTAAGTCAATGTTGAAGAATGGGAGTTACGATCGTTTAAGCCCTGCTACTTCGTATGTCAATGTTGAAGAATGGGAGTTACGATCGTTTAAGCGCCGCGACTTCGTAAGTCAGTGTTGAAGAATGGGAGTTACGATCGTTTAAGCGCTGCGACTTTGTAAGTCAATGTTGAAGAATGGGAGTTACGATCGTTTAAGCGCTGCGACTTCAATGTCAATGTTGAAGAATGTGAGTTACGATCGTTTAAGCGCTGCGACTTCGTAAGTCAATGTTGAAGAATGGGAGTTACGATCGTTTAAGCCCTGCTACTTCGTATGTCAGTGTTGAAGAATGGGGGTTACGATCGTTTAAGCGCCGCGACTTCGTAAGTCAGTGTTGAAGAATGGGAGTTACGATCGTTTAAGCGCTGCGACTTCGTAAGTCAGTGTTGAAGAATGGGAGTTACGATCGTTTAAGCGCAGCGACTTCGTAAGTCAATGTTGAAGAATGGGAATTACGATCGTTTAAGCGCTGCGACTTCGTAAGTCAATGTTCAAGAATGGGAGTTACGATCGTTTAAGCGCTGCGACTTCGTAAGTCAGTGGATCGCTTTGTACTGGAATAATCTGACACTTATCAATAGAGTAACACTAGGTACCCTTGATTGGTCCAGCATTGGTAAAAACTAAGGTGTTTCCAAGATTGTTATGTTTTGTGGAATTTGCACACCGCCAGACGTCACTACTTGCTGTCTGTTATCAGACGACCTCGGTAAAACGTCCACGAAGCACAACTTTTAACTTATCAACACATCTAAGCTCATTGACAGCCTACTTGAGAAGCAGGTATTGATAGTAAACATACTCTTTAGCTGAAGGCCAGTACAGTACAGAACAGACATCTGTTCCACTCAAGCCTATGTACACAGTGTGTTGAGCACAGTACCATATTTGTTTTTGATGGCGACTATTTCACATTTGTGACAATTAATCTAATGAAATTAACAACACCACTACAATCACATGGTCCCTGCCTTGACCCCCATCCCTTTGCTTTTTGTCCAGTAATGGCCCCACTAGGATGAAGGCTATCAGAAAACAGGGGCAACTCCGGACAATCATTGAAGACGGTACGTACCACTGTTTGCTCATCCGGTCCTTAGCACCTTTTGGTAGTTCGTGGATCGTTGCTCGTATCAAAATACTTTGTCTGATACATTCATTTTGGGGACCCGTGAAGATCCGGGGTAGAATAGGTCTTCAGCAACCCATGCTAGTCATAAAAGGCGAATAGCTTGTTGTAAGAGGCGACTAACGGGATCGGGTGGTCAGGCTCGCTGATCTGGTTGATGCTTGTCATCGATCCAAATTGCCTGGATCGATGCTCATGATGTCAATCACTGGATTGTCAGGTCCAGACTCGATTATTTACAGACCGCCGTCATATAGCTGGAATATTGCTGAGTGTGGCGTTAAACAACAAACAAACATTCATTTTGGGCCGCGGGGATGTTGCAGGAATATTGCCGACATAAACAACATGTTCTCATGCAGTCCTTGTCTCTCGACTTTTTCGGAATCAGTCGATTGGTTTTCTATTAAAACGTCGAACCCGGGTTCGATTTCCAAAATAGGTGTTTGACATTCCTATATGGTGTTCCCCACGTGATATTGCTAAAGGTCACAAATCTGAAAATGACTTAAATTTGAACCTGCCTTGATAATCTCCAAAAAATGTTTGAAGACATCACAAAAAGATAAGTCCGAAACATTACTGTGTGAACTTGAATATTTAATAGTGTATTTGGATGTGTAATCTGGTCGTAAATAGAGTAAAATTGTCCAAATAAATCTCCTTGAAATCAATCTTTGTCTTACTTTTAGCCTTTGAAAGAGGCTCATTGCCTTGAAAAGGGTTCAATTTGAGGATCATCCACATGACTCACTTCAGCACTTTCAAGCAACAGATCATTTCAAGACAGACATTTTTGATAAGGAAAAGGGAAATATCTAATATGTATTTGCTGTAATCTTCAGGCGAGGGTGCCATTCCCACCGATTCCTACATTCCTGCTGGTGAGAGCGGAAGTGAGCGACTGCGCATCATGACCTGCTCAGACAAGATATGCCGGTGGAATGCTCTCGGCCTCCAGGGGGCGCTTCTAAGTCATTTTATGGACCCTCTTTACCTGTCATCAGTCATTATAGGTGCGTATAAGTGTACAAGTACTAAAAGTCATTAAGCCACATGCAATAAGGAAGGGCAATAACAATTTAACAATATAAGCGACAAAACCCTTTCCACAATCATAAGAAATCTCCACTATACAATTCCATCTTTTTCACAAGCATGTGTTTATGAATCACCATGAAACAGTAATGATACCAGTGGTTCTCAAAAAGGTGTGCAAATTCCGATTTACCAGTGGCACCGATCACAAACACATGCAAAGGCAAGTCAAATTTTCACCTGAACATAATCCGGGTACATATGTTACAAGTCACAATGGGGAATGCATCGGACATCATTTTAGTCACTGAACTAAAGTTTGGAAATTTGGTTTGAAATACCGTTGTTTATTTCTTATTCATGTAAACATTCAACGGTATCGGTATGTAGTTGTTGCTGTCCGACCATGTGTCACATGCTTCTCTTCTTTGCATGGGAGACATGCTTCGGGCTGTTTCATGATTAATATTGAAGTGGTTCAAGTCGCTATTGAGGTGTATTTGAAAGACGTGTAGAATTAGTTTTTCTACTGTAGTAGGGTTCAGTACACTTGGCCCAGTGTTACACAGACTTCAAAGCAGTTGATTTCATTTAAATGCAAAGGTTTCTGAATCAGACATGCGGATTCAAATTGAGTGGCGTTAAAACATATATCACCTTCGTATTTGGGTGGTAATTTACCTCTGCCATAGTTGTGCCACTTTGTGAATATTGTGATCATATATTGACTGTCTTTACCTTCCCACAATGTACATTTCTTTGAAATATTCTAGTAAATATAAACTAAAACGTCCGATATTTTCAGTCGAAAATCAGTAATTATTCCATTACAGGTGTGTAATTGTGTGACAATGGAAATGTATTTGTCGCATTTTACTTGACTGAGTACACAAAGTCTAGTCAGTATTTTGGGGTAATAAATAATAGTTATTGAGATTACACATCGTAATTGTCAAATATGAGGAAAAAATGTGAGCATTTACCGGAGATAATAACATCTTGTTATTTATAATATCATTTTTAAAATAATCATTGGATGTGTTTATGAATACAATGATTGAGTGAACCGCCTCATTTACTATATAGTGCCAGATCCCATTCGTGACCAAATCGTGCCTCTCGCGTGGCCATTTTTGCGACTGGGATTCGTCTAAGCGCAAACGGGCAACGTTAAAAGAATTGTCAACTCGTTGCGTAATGATTCACGTATATTTGCCCAATGTCATATCTATTTTAGATGCAGTTTAAAACACATCGGGACTTACGGTATTTATATAGTATGATTGAACACATTTAGCTGTATCTAGGATGTATTTTTTAGATGTAAGACATGTAAAATAAAAACTTATTCCTGAGGGATTCTTTGACCGATGTACTTTAAGTCATTCTGATTGGTTTGTCGTATTTTCACACATAACTTGCATCGATAGGGGGACGAGTCTTCTTGCAGGTTACGGAAAGGGGCGAGTGGTTACGAACGATATGGATCTTATTAAAGTAGTTCCTGTGTGATCTCATTTGCGTATGTGTCGGATCGTGAAATGGAATTTCTTGGATTGGTTTATCACATCGTGACACCATACATTATATGATAAAGATACCTACTTAAGATTTTCTCAATCATCAGTTTACTTGATTTCATTACGTCATAACTTTGTATAGTGCTATCCCCCTGGCTTGAAACACCGGCTGTCCGTGCGTTTGTCCGTTTTCCGTTCACGGAGCAGAGCTCCAAAACCGTTATATTAACCATATAATTAATTTGAAAGTTGGTATACAGATCAGTCCAGTGGTGAACTCGTGGCTTTTGATGATTGGGGATTTTATTAGCTACTGAACAGCAGTATAAAAAGCGAAACACTTTGTCCAGTCAGTTTGTTGAAAATAATTCAGTTTCATAGAATATATGTAAGTAGCCAAACGCAATTTCCGAATTTCACTAGATCGGGGGAAATATGTCAACTTCTGAAGGCTCTTGCTTTTCTAATGATAAAAATATGCATAGTGCGCCAAGTCAATCCCCTAAAGCACCATCAAAGCCTACATTCTTACCCCGGGCAATGGATCAGTGTGCACTCGATTTTCATTCTGAGCTCCCTGGGGAGTATACAAACCAATCATCATCATCCTACCGGGTACCCATTCACATCAGGATGATCAATGGCATATTTTGAACAGAGTCACTTGCCTTAGGAGACACCACTGCCGAAAACAGTCACCCATCCACCTACTCTCCGCTTTGCTTAACTTCTCCTAATTTGTGACCTGTGCGCTGCACACACATGCCCCCATATCGATGTATTGGGTCAATTGCCATGCACTGATAGATCAGTCCACCGTTTCACCCCAGCAATGCAGCTGGTCTAATATTACCCCCCAATCTGTGTTCTCAGGTAGCTACTCAGGGGATCAACGGGAGCACATTCCACGCGCTATTTACGGCCGACTCACAACCGGAGACCTCCGCCAGGACTTGCAGCCGCCGTATCGTGTTAATACGCCAGAGATATCATACCCGGATGCAGATCTCCATGACAACTACAACATCAACAAATCCCGCCAATATTACGTCACGTGGACATTCGGTGACGCAGGGGTGGAAGTCATCGATGGAATGACGGGCGCTATGGTCGGAGGGTATGACTATCTTCTCTTTTATTCTTTGTTTGTTGTTTAACGCCGCTCCCTGCAACATTCCAGCCATATGACGGCGGGCTGTAAATAATCAAGTCTGGACCAGACAATCCAGTGATCGATAATTATGATATGGCTGGTTTGTTGTTTAACACCGCACATTTCATCTATATGACGGCGGTCTGTAACCGGTCTGACCAGACAATCAAGTGATTAATATCATGAGCATCCATCCACACAATTGGAATCGATGACATGCATCAACCAAGTCAGCAAGCCTGACCACCCGATCCCGTTAGTCGCCTCTTACGACAAGCATGGGTTGCTGAAGACCTGTTATAACCGGGATCTTCACAGGGCAAGTAGCAGTAGTAAAAATATAAGAACCTTTACAAACTGTAACTGATTTCGTTGTCCATCAGGTCCATCTCTGCCAAAGAATCCCGTCTATCCAAGCAATCCTTCTTTGCCTCGTTCCGGAGTCTGTGCCGGAAGTTCGACAGACAGGATTTGCTGAGAACAACCTACAAAGAGGCCAAGCTGCTGTCAGAGGACTACCAGGCCTCGAAGAGCACCCTGTACCAACACTTCCAGACCTGCGGGTACGGGCCGTGGTACTCTGTGGAGAACAACTATAGTGTAGATAGTTTCTCATAGGAGCAGAGCGGTATAGCTGGTTCCATAGTTGGCGCACCGCTAGCTGTAAAACTTCGAATAGATGCCGGGCCCAGTGCAGAGCACGTGATCAAACACACAACGGCAACGTCTTGCCTTCATCCTAACAAAATGGGCGTGTTCGCATTGCGCGGAAGCCCTGATGGCCTCGAATAGTCGGAGCAGATGGCTCAAAAAGACGCCGTCCAGTGTGAAGATCGCTGCGTTCAGGTTGTCTCGCCTCACCCGCCTCTCTCTTCACATTATCTAGTCCTTTTGCAGTTACTGATTTTGATTTCTAAACAGGTTAATTTCATCAAAAACAAAGTACAGTGAACTTGTTTTTGGAAACCCCAAAATCTAAAATGCTCTCTTTTTAGCTTTTTAGCTTTGAATATTATAGTGGGGCTTTGGGGGATTCATGATGGACTCCGAAGGCTCTCTCGATATTTTTAACGAATTAAGATCAATATTTAAACAACTTCAAAGTTTCGGCCTAAAAGTAGATTTACATTCGATGAACGTTTAGCGAGGCTGGGAAAAGAGGCTTAAGACAAATGGCGTCAGTGCTAGGTTTTACTCTCGGAATTGTGCAATATTAACATTTTATCCCTTCCTACGAGAGCCACTACCTAAGATGCCTGTTCTACACGCAATAAGTCGGAGACTCCACGAGGAGGACAGATCCAGACCAGGACGTCTAGTTAAACAGAGGCCCGGGGCGCTATTCGAAGTTTTACCGTTTCAAGGTAGTATTTCATGTCTCTCCGCCAGGAACCTGTGATTTGAAAAGAAAAATTGTCAGTATATGTGATGTCTTAAAAATCTTATTTAATCATTGAAATATTTTATATGATTCTTGTGTATAGCGTAAGGCATACCGTTATCTGTTAATACCCGACTTTATTGGCAATGACATTTAATTACTTGAAACTGACTATGATATATTCATGTAAAATTTAAATGGCATGTTGTATACTAAGCAGGATCCAGGATTGTTTGAGGTGGTAGGGGTGGGAGTAATTTTTATCGTGAGGGGTGGGTTTTTTACAATCTGAATTATAACGTTTAGTGTGAACAGGTGGGGTCCACTTGGCATAGACACGAGTATTTCGATAACAAGAAGGTGTTAATACAAGAAGATTATTTATTGACATTGAGTTAAGATGTTAAAAAGGGGAGCTCGGGGTCGAAACCCCTGCCCCCATCCCTGTATCTGCCACCAATAACGATCAACCTGTGTACAGATCAATATCCGACTAGAGTTGCCGTGATGTCAGCTTTTACTGCAAATAACTTTAAGACAACTCAGACTTTGATGCAAATATACTCCTCTATTTTTGAAAGGAACATTCAGATATGTCATATATTTAAATATACACTTGACATATAGAGAATCTCAACCGACTGTCTTTTGATATCAAATATATCAACACGAGTTGATAAAAGTGGAAAAATTCCGAGGCTTGCCGAGGATTTTTGCCACTTTTATCAACTCGTGTTGATATATTTGATATCAAAAGACACTCGGGTGAGATTTTATTTATCATCCAACATCATTCTTCCAACTTTTTCAATTGTCTTCAGTGTAAAAAGTACTGCTAACAGCTTCAGTAGCAGAGCCATTTGTGATGTCATTTGATTGTGACGTCATGGTAACCTGTGACGTCACAATGGTCTGCAAAGCATTGTGATGTAATTTCATTCCAGCGATATCTATAGTGTAGATATCGCGCGATCTCATCCAAGCGCTATCTCCTGTGGGAGCCAGTTTTGGATGATAACTGAGAATCAGTGTGGTGTATCATGGAAACAATTTTGATCCCAATCAAACGGGGAGTAGTATAGCAGCACAAACTGTGCTGTGGTGGCTTCCTGACGAACTGGAGAGAACGATGGTGTTAAATGGCAAGTTACTAAGTTCAGTTTCTGTTCGCTACATCCGTCAGGTACATGTATCGGCCAACAGCTTTAGCTTTTGAAAGTCTTTCAAAATGATGTCTGATCTAGGATTTGCTAGTGCTAGAGGTTGTTCGTTCTCCCGTTAGCAAATGTGGTGCCTAAAGTATCGTCTTACCATTATTTCAAGAAAAATGTGCTTGCGGGTAATACAAGGTCTCACCTTGTGACGAACGAAGTTTGTGCTTTATCGATTCTGTAAATAGAGTGTCGTAGGGAACGTGATGCACATAATGTCTTATTGCCACAGCGGAAATAGGGACACTGTGTCTCAAGTCAAACGCATGGTGATATATAATACAATATTGTATATGTGTTGGAAAGTGACATTATTCAAGCGAAAAAATATAACGTCAACATTTTGGGACATTTTGGGGCATCCTGAAGCTTGTGTTTCTTCTAAGGATTTCAGTCAGAATGGGAACCAATCTGAAAAAGGGAGGTAATTACGGGTCATAGTCACGTGACGTAGATAGATAATAGGATAGTTGTGTTATTAATAGCTGTATATATCTCAGTAAGTATATAGTTTTGACGGTAGGATATGAGCTTAACAACCCCTAGCTAAACCCCAGACACAGATTTTGACAACTTTGCAGTAGGTCAAGTTCAGGGCCATGGGCACACACCCCTTAAGTCTATACAGTCAAGTACATGTATAGTGACACCTTGTTATTCCGGACGGTACAATAATGTCCTTTGGGCCTTATATAGTTTTTTAGTTGGTTTACGAGACTGATCGACAAAAAAAAAGAAAAAGAATAAAAAAATGGCTTGTCTAACTCTAAAGGTTTTGGTCGACGCTGTTTTACAAAAAGATGGATAAAAACACGAGATTTTATCACCGCTGTTCGTAAAAAATATTACATATAAACATTGTTATTCTAGCAGCAACAAAACAATGAGGTAACTTTTGGTATCTTGCCATGTTAAAACTTTTTTGTTTTTCGTTCATTATTGGCAATAGTTATCTATAAGTTGAAATTTAAAAAAAAGTTCGACCACCTACATTGAATTTTAGGCCAAATATTTGTAAACCAAATAATTAAAAACTAAGGAATTGTAGAGTTTTCACTTTCCTAACAGTATACGTCCGGAAAGCTCAGGGTCCGGAATAACGAGGTTTCACTGTTCATTTAAAGGGGGATTCGGCTCTGGCAAACTGGCAGCCCCAACAAGCACAATACAAGTCGTTCAAACATAACTTTGTTTGTCTGTATTTTCAAAATTCATCATATATGTCAATCTAATTTAATTCTATCACTTAATGATTAACCAAAGCACATGAGATACCGTTACGGTTCTAATAAAGACATCCATTACTATCTAGACCTGAAAATAGGAATCAGATTGTGGAGCACAAACAAATATTATGGTAACTGGTTGAAAGATGACGCATATAGTTCTACTAATTTTGAATATGATGATTAATGAAGCATTGATCACATTGTTGACATAACGAAGTTATGTGATTCTGTTTTACTGTGATCCGTGTTTTGTGGTTATAAAGATCATTTATCATGTGAATAAGTATTGACATACATGTATATCATTAATAATTTATGTAATTAATCGATCAATATACGATTTATACGCACATGCAACCGTCAGATAAATATCATCTGTATAATTTAAATTGCTCATGTTTAAATGAATGTACACTGTATGTGTGAAATCCAAGGCATTGGCAGATGCTTTTGTTATGTTTGCTTATATTGATTGATTGAGTATGGTTTTACGCCGCTTTTAGCAATAATCCAGCAATATCACGGCGGGGGCCACCAGAAATGAGCTTCACACATTGTACCCATGTCGGGAATCGAACCCGGGTCTTCGGCATGACGAGCGAACGCTTTAACCATTAGGCTACCCGACCGCCCCTGTTTGCTTATAATTCAAGTTCATGATTTTAGAGTGAATGTTCAATGAGTGAGTGTCTTTGTCAAATATACAGCTCAACTTTTGCTGTGGCTGAAAGCTTAAAAGGAAAGTATGACACTATCGTTGTCTTGTTCGGTTTTGAATACTTTTTATTATGTGTTTGATTGGTAAAGGCTTTGTCAAGTTCAACACCATTATTGAGAGTATGACACCCGATTAAATATGAATTTTTTTATGGGTAAATATAAACACGACGAGTTCCCATCCTTGATATAATGTCTGGTTGGTCCACTCATTCGCTGCACTCCTGTCAGTATTGCTAGCGTATCCCTGGCAAACGTTGTGTAGTATATAGTGTCCCTATCCCTACGGTGACTGATGGCTGCTACACTGTTAGGTAAATATATTATTCTAAAACGGTTAAGGACCACCCGATTCGTTCCTATTATTATAGCTTATATTGTCATGCCCTGACAGATTACAGCAAACTTCGGTTATAACGAACACGCTTATAACGAACTGACAGATATAACGAACTATTTTTTTTTGGTCCTGTCTATTTGCTGCATTTATTCCGTACATTTGCTTATAACGAACTACGGTTATAACGAATTAACATTAGTGGTCCCTTTGAGTTCGTTATAACCGTAGTTTACTGTAACTATATATGGTAGTGTGAAAGAATCGGGTGGTCCTCGGCTCATTTGTTTTGAGTAGTATATGAAATTCTAGTAGGTATAGACGCCGTACTACTACCGAGAGAAGATATGTACATATATTACAGAGAGGTGATACAATTCCGCCTATGCAATTCGAAATACGATGTTTTAAGGATACTGTTGGACAAAAGAAAGTATTCATTTGAAAATTGGATTTGGTGAAAACAATTACAACGTCACTAGACTAAAAACAGTCTCTGAAACACTGCAAAAGTAAGGTTCAAAAGACAACTATGATAGCCGCATCAATACATCACCATCGAATAACCATTTCTTGTTTGTTTCATGTTGTAGCTACCATCAAACATAGGTGTATATTCTCTTAAATGTCCTCAATTTTCAATCATTAAAATAATTGTGTATTTCAACCTCAAGGTGTTTGCAAAACAGAAAGTATACGTGCATATAGTTGAGATAATTTGTGAAGGTGGTTCAACACTGTTATTCAGACTGGTTTCAACATGTATCAAACTCAAATTATTCCCATTAAGTGACTGGATTATCGGGGTCCGGATAAACGAGGGTAGACAGGACATGTTAAAATGTCCATTTTATTGATATAGTTTCTATAAAATCAAGGTCGATAATGTGGGTCGTTTAAAGGAAGTCTTTGAAAGGCATTTAGAAGTGATACACATAAGGTGAGTGAGTGAGTAAGTGGTGCTTTAAGCCGCATCAGCAATATTCCAGCTATTCGCGGCAAGGATACACATAAGGAACAGAATTTATGGATGTCAACTTCTTTATTATGAGGAACACAGGGTTTGATAATGAAGGAGTAAGTATATACTCCGAAACGTTGTGTTCCTAATAATAATAAAAAAGTTGACATCAATAAATTCTCTTCCTTACGTTTAAAGGAAATATTCATAAATTAACAAGGAAGTATTCATAGACGTTCATGTACAGCAAGTAGCAGGTTCGCGTAACCAACATTATTCGAAGTAATTATTTACTAGATCTCAGTATTATATTGCTGTTGTGATTGGGTGAGACACATCTGTGATAGTAGAATGTAATATAGCAACACTGTACAGGGTAATGAACTCCCACCATTGTAGACTACCATATGCCTAAGTTCACCTGTAGCTTCGTTGATTTCATCAAATCTATGTTATAAATAGTGGACCTCTTCCAAAGATGGCAGTGACAATCTTGACTTCAAGCCGTCGAAATGGTGCAGCACTTGGACTGCTCTTTAGAAAATATTAATACATCTAAGTCCAATCTATGCTCAATTGTCATTCCATTTATTCCAGGGATTGTGCATCAGCCTATAAATACAATTTTCAAATACTCGGGCCTTTAAGTCATGCCGGAGTTCGAAAATATCTGCATATCTCGAAAGTCGAAGTCGTCCCAACTTTCCCCCGAGTTTTCAGTGTAAATATCTCAGCCAATCAACAGTATAACCACATGTCGAAATGTGTATTCAGTTCGAAGTCACCCCATGTTCTTCAACCGTGTTTCGGTAAATATATCTGTAACTCGAATCTTTCCAAGATCTCGAAACTGATGCCTTAGTTAAATTTAGTTTATATTTTTCGCCCAAAGTCACTGATGCATGTAATAATGACACCACAACCATTATGTGCGTTTCTTTTTCCTTTGAGTATATGTGTGTATGTTGGTCGAGTCTGCCAGTGTACACTGTTTGATGATACTGTCTACGAAAGCTACGATTTGTTGAATGAATTATGCACCTGTATCGTCTTGTCAAATGTCTAATCAAAACCGTCCTTCGATATCTTGACATCGATTTGTTGACATAAATAGTTACGCTGACATCGATATGGTGACATAGACGTACTAACATCGATGTATTATCATCGATATGCTGTTATCGATATCTTGATATCGACCTACAGATATCGGTATATTGAAATCGAATTGTTGGCAGATACGCTGACATCGATATGCTGTTATCGATATATTGATATAGACATACTGATATCGGTATATTGACATCGATATGTTGACATAGATAATTATACTGACATCGACACATTAACAGCAGTATGTTTAACTCAGTTCATGTACATGTATATGCGACCGTACATGGCCATTCGGTTATGTCTAAACTTGTGGACGGACCACTTCGTCAGGGGTGGCTACTAAAATATATTTTGTTCGCAGGTTGTTAATGTCGTGAAAGAACCGTCAATTCAATTTTTAAAGTTGTTCTACTGGTTTCACATATTTAAAAAACCACATGTTATATCTTGCAGCAGAAACCGAAAACATATTCAGTCAACGTAAATATAAGCCCAACTCCCTAACTATGAAATGGCCAGTCCCTCGCTCCAATCTTATCCATCCACGTTTAGCGCAGATCAACTAATCAGTCTGAACATGGATTCGTGTCAGATTTCCAATGGCACGTTACCAAACAAGGTCGATCCTTCTTCTTCTTTTTTTTTGTTCGCGATTGTGAGTCCTTATATAACACTTATCATATTTCATAACGGAATAGTTTTTCCTGTCGCTGTGGATTGAACCGTGACATAGCTATACAATATAGTGTTCCCCATTTAATCAAAAGTGTGAAAGTCGCACTGCTGTTTACTGGATCACAGAATCAAACTTCCTGGTATGTTTGATAAGAACACTATTTCCCTTATTCCTTATTGACATTGCCGCGAATAACTGAAACAGTTTGCTCGCAGTGCATATAAACACGAAGAGTAAATAAACAAATCTTGAATTAACAGTGAATGCAGGAAAGGGTGCAAGCAATATGGGAAGTCTTTTGTCGTAAATTTAACATAAAATCTTCTCGGTGGATTGTACAGCAGCTTACCATGTATTTACGCAGAACCTATTTAAGGCCGCTCTATTGTTTTGTAATTATAGTCGAACCTCGTTGTGTCGAACTGGATGTGTCGAATTCCCGAACTTTTCTCCAGGCCCCACGAGTTCGACACAACAAGGTTCGACTGCACTTTGATTGTCATGAGAATCATGTGTAATTCATTCTGAACTGATTGTACCCTGTATTAAGTAATGATTGTGTCAGTATGTATATGACAGTAATCTTTCCCTGTCAGCACAACAGCGTTCGCTTATTTGCCATAGGTCGTAATGTATAAATGTCAGGTCAGTTATTAATAGTGTCGTGTTGAATATTTTCCGAAAGTTCTATTGAATCTTCCATGATCCCACCGCCTATCATTTACCTTACGAATATTGTAAGGGGTTCACAACCAAAGCTGCCTTCATAATAAGATAGTAATATTAACCCTCATATCATATGCTACGGAGAGTATGCATGTTATCATAGTGAAATCTGTTTAGTGAGCAGCCATGTGATTTTCAAGGGACGGGATTTGGGGTTGAGATCAGCATATATTTTTTAATGTGTAGGAGCTCATCTGTTTTTTCCTACATACTCAGGTGTTCAATTATTTTTATAATTAATAAGAATTACGGACTGTATTATTTGGAAACTAGCATGCAAAAAAGGGTCACATTATTTGTTTTCTTTCATATGTAATATGTTTTCAGTAGCACCGAACAGGATCATCTTTTTATAACACCAGCGTGTTTATAACATGCTTGATGATGTCGGAGTTCTATTTTCAACGCAGATTACTCAAGTACCTTACCATTCCACAGATGATAACACCGACTGTTTACTAAGGTAGACATTGCCTGTTCTACTTCCATATCAACCATATACACGTGTTATTTATTTGTGACTACGCAAGAGGCATGCTTAGATATTACATGTTTGTTATTGTCTAGTCAAAGGACAACTATTTTGATACATGAGACTGTGAATAAAGAATGAAGTATATTTGTGTCTTTTTTATCATTCTTCGGTGATCAACTGAAGATCAATCAAACGTTCACATGACAGCTCTGACCGCGTCATACCAAAATACCTTTAAATTTGGTACTTGTTGTTACCCTGCCTGGTGCTCTGCCGATAATACAAGGAGTGTGTGTGTGTGTGTGGGGGGGGGGGGGGGGGGGGGGGGGGGGGTGTTAAGCCAGTGCTTAGTAATATTCCATGTGTATGTATTACGACGGTCTGTAAATATTCCAGTCTGGACCAGACAATCCAGTGATTGACATCGTGAGCACAGATCTACCAATTAGGATACGAACATGCATCAATCAAGTCAGCGAGCCTGACCACCGTTAGTCACCTCTTTCGACAAGCATTGGTTGAGAGAGAGAGGGGGGGCCACTTTTCTTAGTGTATTCTTCATTCAGTCAGCGGTCAAAGGGAGACAACTTTTATCCCATAGACGGTTTTATGTAGTATGTGTGAGTGAGTTTGCTATACAGTATTCCTGTTATATCACAGTGTGTCAGCTTGTGAGATGAAGACTGAAGAGATGCTGGTCATAGACATTTACAATCATGGTGAACCAACGAGATGGCTCATATTTATGGCTCAAGGCTAACTGGGATTCGAACACACGACCAAAGGTCTCACTGGCTGAATGTGATCTTACTCTGGTGGCGGGAGTCCTTGTCAGTGAGTCCAGAACATTAAAAAAAATAACACATATAATACACTTTAAACTTTATTCATAAAAATAACAAAATCTTTTAACAATCTTATGTCTTCTCGTTCCTCTTCAAAAACTTAATTTTAGCATTACCGGTACACAAATCAGATGTATAATCATATCAAAATGAAAGTTGTAACATTGCTTACATACTCATTCCCAAGATTAAGTACATCAACCATGCATGATATTTGGGATTTGCTATTTAATCACTGTTATTTCTTGACAATGAAATATTCCTTTCTCATATCTAACAGTAGTGATTGATAATATCCATATTTTAGAATAATAAATACAACTTAGTAAATATTTTTGGTGTTAATGAACAATTTTTGCAGTTCTATATGTCTCCTACATATAAACATTACACAATAATAACCTTTAATATTTACATATATACAATATACACACTGACACAATATTTCAAGTATTGTTCCCCGGTATTAATTGAAACATTATAGCACTTTGAAAGATAAAATATTGTTGGAATTATATGTGAAGAACAGATTCTGGGAACATGTATTCATCTTAATCAGTAATCACCAGATGAAGCTTCTATGAGTCATCTATGTGGGTGGGAACCAGAGAATAAGGGGAGGTTCACCACAAGCCATGACAGTTATTCATGGTAAAAATAATATTTTATTGGATTTTCATCATAACAAAATACTTTGAAGGAGTTAAATGATTGATGAAACAACTAGTGTCTATGCAGCAAAATTGTCCCTGAACCAAAGGCAATTTATTAAGGACAAGTTAAGAATATCTATAGTTAACATTGATGCAAAGCTAAGCTAGAATCAAAGTATGTAATTCAGGGATGAGAATGTTTGTGTTGTAAAGACACTTAAAGTTTGGGCTCTAGGGAACTATATGATTCATGTGTATATTGTAACGTATCAGATTAGATTTTAAAACACTAAGTCTTGTTTGTATGTAAAATATTTAAACAAGAAAATAGCTGAAATAGAAGATAAAACTTTGAATCCCAGTTTGATAAAAATGCTAATAGTATTTATTAGGATGAAATATGGGGATCATGCATTCAGAGACATACTGGGGTTTTGTTACTATGGTTATACCTTAGTCATTGATGCAGATGTTGATGCTGAGCAAACTGTCTTGACCAGTTCCAGGATGATGATATACAGTATAACTCCCTCCAAATCTAGTGACACTGTCCCACAGCTATACTGTGATGATATACAGTATATAGCCTCCCTCCACTAGTGTCATTGTGCCACAGCTCTACCGTGATGATATTCACTATATAACCTCCCTCCACTAGTGTCATTGTGCCACAGCTTTATTTTGATGATATACGGTATACCTCCCTCCAAATCTCTTGACACTGTGCCACAGCCTTCACCGTGATGATATACAGTATCCCTAGACTGTCTTGTTGTGACGCCACAGGATTACTAAGAGGCTGATACCAGAAATAATGGCAATTATCTGAAAATAAAGATATACAGTCATGAAAATGAACAATGTTGTAAATTGTATATGGAACCAGTCGCGCAATATCACAGCTATAGAAGGGCAGAACAATAGCATGTGAATACTTGAATCTGTCCCCGACAAACTGGATGTTGTCTGATGTCAGCAATATCACTACTATAAGACTAAAACATGTTTGCTTGCTTGTTTGTTTATTTGTTGTTTAACGACACACTCAGCAATATTCCAGCTATATGACAGCGGTCTGTAAATAATCCAGTCTGGACAAGACAATCCAGTGATTGACATCATGAGCATCAATCTACACAATTGGGATACAATGACATGCATCAACCAAGACAGCGAGCCTGACCACCTGATCCAGTTAGTCGCCTCAAACGACAACCATAGTTGCCTTTTACTGCAAGCATGGGTTGCTGAAGACCTATTCTACCCCAGATCTACGCGGGTCGACTATAACATAAGTCTCATTGCATGTAATTGTAGCTCACTGTGTACCCCGATGGTTGATAATATGAATAACTGGTGTATCTGGTCTAGACTTGAGTATTTACAGCCCACTGGACGTTGCTGAGTGTGGCTTTAAACAAACAAAACAAATTACCCAATTAGACAAACTGTTGGTTGCTGACATGAGGGGTGTTGTGTACCATGGTCAGCAATGTCACAGCTACAGGTAGACAATGTGTGAGTGAGTGAGTGAGATGAGCTTAGTGCTGCTTTGAACAGTACCTCTCTCATATCATATCAGTTTGAAATGAAGGCCTGAGGTGGTGCTAGTTTGGTGAAACCCACGAGCATGGGTCTGGTGCTCGCTGCTGTTGACAAACCTAGAAACGGAATCTGGGTGAGTGTGGGATTCAACCCCCTGATCACTGACTTCTGGCATGACTAAGGGACACAACTCTGCACAGTGAATTACAGTGCTTTAGAGGACTAGGCTACCTGCACCCCTCAGCCTGTCAATAACCACATCTGGTCGAGGCAAACTTGCGCTTACTGACATGAGTGGTGACCTTGCCGTCAATGCGATTAATGTCAACCATTATAACTGAGACTCCGCTTAGCATTACAAGGAGGCACGGATGGCCCAGTCATCTAAGGTGCTGCAATTCGCTGTGCAGAGTTACGTCCCTTGGACAGGCCAGAAACCTATGATCGTGGGTTCGAATCCCAGTTCGCCCCGATTATGTTTCTAGGTTTGTCAGCACCATACCCATGCTCACGAGTTTCACCAAAGTGGTAAACATCTTGAGACCTGCATCATTTCAGGCTTTCCTCCCACAGTACGCTGACACGCCGTGATATAACTGGAAGGAATACTGTTCAAAGCGATGTTATACCACTCTCCAGAAGAACAAGATGTAGCATTACAAACAGGAAAGTAATTATTCAAAATAAATGTACACCCATCAAATCAGGAGGTTTTGAACTGCAGACACACCTGACAAACTCCAAGGCCAATTCCTGCTGCTCCCAGATAGTAGAAGTTGTCCTTTATCTCTGACTTTACCTTGGTGAAGCAGGCCTGGAGATACACAGGACACATTGGAAACACACTTACACACAGACAGACAATGCTACAGTATTTGAATTATGCAAAGGGTAAGGAAACAGGGTCATTACCCTTATGTCCAAAATTAAGGGGGAATAACTCTAAAAGGGCATCTCCATTGCCATAACAGGTCAAGTGAGACGAGTTTTCTGGCATTGGAAACAACATCATTATTAACACTGAGTGAACAAACAACTGATTCTCAGTCAGTGGTGTGGGACCAAAAGGTCATTATTTCAAGATGAAATTCTTCCCCTCTGGTGTGTTTTGCTGACTGACAGCCTGACCACTAACTGGTTCCATCGTTGGTTTGCAGTCTTTAGTCAACAGGCAGCAGCCAATAGATGTGCTTAAAATCTGTACCATATGCAGTTATAGGTGAGTATGTGTAGCATTCTTAATTATGAATATAAATGTCTATGTCGCAAAAGTTTGTTTTGGGGGCAAATAAAAATCCAAATCTATATAATTATGTTACCTATGAATTATGGTGAGTGCAGTTTTATCTTGTTAGGTAGTCTTTAGGTAATCTGTTATTTGTTTTCATTCGATACCGAGGACAAGTGAATGCTATGTCTATCAAGTCCTCCAATCAAGTCTTTGATAGGCATTTAGAAGTTGGGAGAACTTGATTACAAGACACTTTTTATGAATAGCAACATCTTAAATTCTTTGTCACAACGTTTTTTTAGCTACTTCTTGCTCCTTCATTGTTCACGTGATGAAAGAGCAAGAAGAAGCTCTGAAACGCAGTGACAAAGAAGTTGCTATCCATAAAATGTGTCATGCATGCCGACAGTCTAGTCAAACATTTGGCCCCTGGTGGGCCTGTTGCTTACATCTCTGTGAGCTATTTTGACGCCCTGTAATCCACAGCGAGGGAATCTGCAGCAGGAGTCAGGGATGGAGACCTTATCCCCGATCAGCCAGTCACTGGCATTGTTCACTCCACAACACTTCAACTGTAACATCAACCAGGTCACTCAAACTCACATTAGCAAGGGAGGTAATTCATGATCAAGTTTTCATTCCGACTGTTTAAAAAAACAATCTACATTTCAAATAATAAAAATAAAAAACAGATGCATATTTATGAATTATTAGGGATACGAAACCAGCGGAAAATTACCTCCCTTAACTTAACCATTTTCTTGATGGGATGATCACTTACTGAGATAAATATAAAACTAAAAAAAAGTGGCATTTCAGAAGCTGTAGTAACAATGGAGACAGAGATGCCTTAAGGATTCCGACTTCTGTAATCTGTCAATGCAACACTTCGCTGTAGGCACTAGCAACTGTACCAAAACATTGCATTGAAAGAATAGAAGTTGAAATCCATATGCCATATCGTCTTCTAGATAATTTCAGAAGATACTTGGCAAATCAAAAGTCGGAAGCACTTTTGCTTGTTTTGTAAACTATAGCTTTTATTGTTTCAGCACTGATAATATTTCCATACTACGACGTCATGACAGCAAACACCAGCATATTCAGCAAACACACACTAAACTGATGATAAGGTTTAAAGTCAAATGTCCACAACTGAAACAAATTAAGGCTTTTGTTAATTCAACTAGAATATCCTGTAAATCGATTCCTTCAATGTATGATCAAAGTAACTTTCTGCGACATACTTTCATCATCAAAAGGTATTTTTCACACAGTAATTCCAAACCAACCTTATTCTGAATGACGTCCCACGAGGGATGGGAAAGATCATTCTTCATTCCTTCAAGAAGTTCCTCCTTTAACGTTCCTTCAATCTTAAAAAAAATAGGAAAAACAAATATAGATAGGAACAATAGGAAAGAATATCATGCACTGTAACCAATGATGTAAACTAACATTTAGTCCCAGAAATTAAGTTGTCATATTGAAAATACATATCTACGAAATATACAATAAAATCCAAATGGAGCCAGAACAATGCTTAATTTGCTGAGGCAATCTAGACTTGCCAAATCATTCTAGACTTGAGTTGGACTCCTTTTTTAATATATTCTCTAAGGTCTGGGAAACAGACTAGCAGTTATATGGTGCTCCATCATGCACAAAATGATCAGAAAATGAAAATCTCTATTAAAAATATGTCGCTCGCACCATTATTAATTCCAGTCAAATCTCACTGAGTAGATACTGGATAACATGGGGAAATTGTTTTTATAAGTAGATAGTTTTGTTCGGCCAGTTTGCTGGTGCTATGACCCATCTGAAAGCACAATGTCTAACATTTGTAGAAAGCTCACCCTCGTCACGATATGGCTGAAATACTGCTGATGTGACGTAAAGCATAAACTCACTCACTCACTCACTCACAGAAAGCTCACCTCATTCCTGTGCAGAAAAGCTATGATGCCCACTGCCAGCTCCATCATGAAGACAAACAGGACACACACCACGAACTGGAACATACATGACTCAGTACATCAAGTGCAATAAGGCTTCAGCATGTACTGACCACCAAACAGTGTATTCAGTCATACGCCAGTGGCCAAACATACATTAACAATTTAACTGAATGAGTGAATGTTAGTAGCTGTTGTCACAGAGATTTATCTACACCTACTCTGAGGCCAACATTCAGCGCCAAGTCTGCATCAAAATTCTGTAAAAATTCCCACAATTTGATAAAAAAAAAATCCCAGGTTATGTTATTCTAGTTAGAACTAATGTCATGTCTTTGAATGCAATGGTAAAATAATTCTGAATTTCAGAAAATTAGAACAATATAAATCCCAATTTTGAACAAAATAAGGATTATTTTTCGATTTGCCTATCAAGGGCCCTAAATTTAGAAACCTAGATAAAACCATGAGTCATCAATATTTCAAAGATTTTAAATCATAAATAGATCCTTGACCATACATATACCAGAGACCATATAATATTATTATATATGGTCTCTGCATATACAAACCAAAGGTTCATAAAATGACCAACAAACTATGCCTCCTGCTGAGAACACACACAGTCAGCCCATCTCAAGTTTAGTTGGCTGTTATGGCAATCATAGGGAGGTACCTCGGACTTAGAATGCTCAGTTTAATCAAGAACATGTTCTGCTTGAATCCATCTCCTGAGGCAAGGGAGTTAACTGACTATAAAATAGTCAGTTAACTCCGTTGCCTTGGGAAGATTTTTGAATCACTATTGGAGTAAGTCCACAGACTACAAAAGGGAGAATAATTGTGGCCATAAACGTAACTTCATGTTTTCACCAAGTATGTATTTCTGTCAAGAGTCACTATAGTAATGATAACCAAAGTGAGGATCCATCATTTTTAAAAGGGAGGGGTCCAAAATATCAAAATCCTCTCTCAGTCAATTTAACTGCCTACAACATACTAAAAGGGGGGTGGACGGTCTGGACACTCCAGACCCCCGGACCCCCCTCTGGCTCCGCCTATGATAACAATGATGACCAGCGATAGTTACTAACATTTGTAGTCCACTATGGCAAAACCTGTTAAAAATGGCAAGTTTATACTGGTCCTTATGATTCCTAATTACCATTGGGCAGCTTGGCAAGGACTATAGGACTAGTGCCAATTGATATCCCTGGATGACACATATTAACTATAATCAGCGACCTTGAAATAAGGGATGCATCAAACAAAGCTGTGATCATATGCATCGTAACAACAGCTTTGTCCAGTGTTGTCCAGATTAAATTTTTACAAAATTAAAATTTCAGGAGCTGGATAAAATATATAAAAAAGTTAATATTAATCATCCCATGGGGTCATGTGGCTAATGACTCCCCATACTAGTACCTAATCATTATTCTGATCTTATGTCTGATGTCCAATCCACATGTGACAATGTCCCACTCACCATGATAAGACAGCATTTCTGCTGCATGAGTGCACCAATACAGCCGATGATTGAGACGATGACGACAATGGTGCCGGCTGCTATCATCACAAGGGGGACGCTGACGTACTTGCTGTCAACAAGGACGCCCAGGAAGTCGGCCTGGTTGAGTTGGACCCACACTCCTATACCCACCATGGCGAAACCCATCAACTAAAAACAAAGGTGGAGATTCATCAGAGGAATATTCAAATTAAAATATCTTATATACTGGAATGTCCAAAAATAATTTACCATCAGTCATGTACACAGATTTTGAAATATTCATATGCTTTATTAAAATTTGCTATTTTCACAATTTATAAATCCTACACCTAAGAAAAGTGATAAACAGTTATACTGAGGATACTATTTCAATCAAAAACATCCTAAATCCATAAATATATTTTTAGCCCAAAGACTGTTTCTCCCACTAGGGTCAGTTGATAAATTGGGTAAGACAGAAGGCTAAAATATAGCAAGTATGGTAAGCCTTCAATCAGTCATTAAAAAATAGTTGAGGTGTTCTGTTTACTTAAGAGATACAAAAAATATTTTGACCACTGGTCCTTCTACCCTCCCCTCCCCTCCCCCCCCCCCAAAAAAGAAATGTGAATAGGAAAGTCAGTAATTCTGACCACCTAATCCTATAAGTTACCTCATATGACAAGCATGGGTTACTGAAGATCAATTCTATGGTATAATTTATATTTAAAACCTGTTTGTTTTTCACATGATCCAGTCAAACGAAACTTCAACTCACCAGGAATAAAATGTCCACCAACATAAAGAAGAACTTGGTGAGTTTCAGCGAGCAGCACATGGTGACAGGTTAGAAGATCTGCAACAAAGAATTAGTGTGTTTAAAGGGCAAGTTCACACGGAAATGAACCAATTTTTCTTGTACTTTTTCCACATTAAAAGTGTTAACAAAGAAGTGTCATAGACAAAAATATAAAAACATCATATTTAATTAACATATTTTTTGCATTAAAACGATTTATATTTTTCACATTTACCAAGTGTTCTATTTCCATAACAAAAACACCATGGCTTATGCCCCTTGCAATATGACGTCATTGGTGCCAATTGATAAACATTATGACATCATCATGCTTTGTTAGAGCCGCTTCACGTGGAGTAGGTACAGGTGTGTGATTCTAGGGTCTCAGATGCCAGCCAGAATTGTGTTATGCTGAGTCACCACTGCGCCGGAGTGTGTCGTAGACCATGTTGTTTTACCGCAAACTGGTCCTTGATATCTTTTGCGTTGAGAATAGACAGGGACCAAGTTGAATTGGCACCAATTACGTCATAATCTAAGGGGGATAACTCAGGCCTGTTTAGCTCGAAAAACGAAGGCCTCATAACGGCATATCATTTTAACACTATTGTGAGCTTCCTACTTTCACTGTGAAAAAAATGAGTGTATATTTTCAAACACAGATACTAACTAATTCTAAAATTGCGTTTTGTTTAGAAAAAGAAAGAAAGTGATTTTTGCGTGTACACTTCCCCTTTAACCTGGCTATTCTGAATGGATGTTGATCACACAAAGACTTTGATCAGCTTAGTCTAGAGAACATTAAACACTATAAGTTGTAGCAGGACCACTCGGGGTACATGGGATGCATAATACCCCATATACCAAAAGTATTCCTGCTAAAACTAACTTATCTTGTAAAAGAATTCAAACAAATTCAAAATTGATGGAAACAGCTGTTCCATTGGTCTGAGGTATGTCATGTGTCATGCGTGCAGCTTTATGCTTTGAAGTGGGGTATAAAGGATTTATTCTGCCTCTCAAAAATCCATGTGCAACCTGCTTGTGGTGGGGTATAAGAGATTTATTCCGCCGCTGAGAAATGTATTCCCGTCCAAGGTTGGTTACACAGTATTTTATCAAGATCACGTGAACCAATCAGATCTCATCATTCTGACACGGAGGTATTATGAATTGATATATCGTGTTTATCTAGGATTTCAAACTAAGTGCCCTTGACAGCTAAATGGGGAAAATATTCATTATTTGTTCAGTTTTTGGATTTAATTTAAGTTCTTACTTTCCTAAATTCAGAAAAGTTTAACACTGTATATTTAACACTGCATACAACTGAGTGCATTTCAATGATCTAAAATTAAGCATTGAATCCTCTTTCTCTTTATGTATAATATTGGTCTTGTTCTTAGTGAAATACCTCTCCAAAGCCATAAATTAGCAGGGATTTATCGAGATCTGCCCAGAGACAAATCTGCAGCAAACGTCATTGAAATTTCCCAAAATGGAATTTAAAGTTTCCCAATTTAGGTAAATAGATATAACAAATAGCTAATATCATACCTTTTAGAAATAACCTGATAACAGGACAAATAAATAGGTTGTAATGCTCAGTTATATGTTATTGCATTGAATGCAATCTCAAAATACAACGTTAAAAACAGGCCTACCTCAATTTGTCTTCCAGGGGCACTTAGTTTAGAATCCTTTCAAGTCCCTTATAACTATATGGACAGTAAGTGAGTATTGTTTCACACCACTTTTAGCAATATTCCAGCAATGGGCTTCACACATTGTACCCATGTAGGTTATCAAACCCGGGTCTTTGGCATGACGAGCAAAGGCTTTAACCACTTGGTTACCCCACTGCCCCATATATGGACACTTGGTTGATGCATGTCATCGATCCCAATTGCATGGATCGATGCTCATGATATCAATCACTGGATTGTCTGGTCCAGACTCGATTATCTACAGACCGCGGTCTTGCTGAGTGAGGCGTTAAACAACAAACCAACAACAACAACCTATATGGACAGGAAATGGGAAAGGTTTTAATTCCAATTTGGATATTTTTTACTGACATTTGCTGCAGAGCAGGAGCTGAGTATTGGTCTCAGGGCAGGCCTCGAAAAATCCTTTAAAGTTAACAAGAATGTCTACAGTCCATCATAGACAGCTATCGACAAAAACAACTGCATTCCAGAAACAAATCAGTATCCCTACTGGTACTGGGTTATTAGTCAGCTGAATGCCAGATGTGATTATAGGAAAATTAAAGTACTACATATGTGTCTTACCTTACACATGAAGGTCAGAATTCTAATTGGCTAAGACTCATCCTATCATTTTCAATGTACCACGGTACATTTCATATATTCCCCCCTCTATTTGCTGAACTGTTGGTATTACATTTGCAACATACCAACCACAATTTTGTATCTCGAATTATTAATGTAAGACGTCATTCTCCAGATATTTATATTTATATATCCAAATGAAATAGGTCTAGGGGAGATAACTCTAAGTTTCTTTTCTGTCATTGGCTTAGTTGATAAATGCCTAACTGTGGTATTCTTACCAATGAAGACCAAAGCATGCGTGCATGTATATAAGACATACTGTACCTGGAATATCATAAGGTGTGCGGTAAGATAAAATGGTTATTCCCCTCAAGACCAGAGGGCAACTTATATTGTATTGTCAAAGGACCTTTATAACAGTAAGGTCCCAGCTTTTTCTACAGGTTAATGTTGATCTTGATGATTAACTCCGCACTCAGCAATATTCCAGATATATGAAGGTGGTCTGTGTATAATCGAGTGTGGACCAGACAATCCAGTTATTGATATCATGAGCATAGATCCACGCAATTGGGATACAATGACATGCATCAACCAAGTCAGCAAGCCTGACCACCTAATCCCATTAGTCGCCTCGTACGACAAGCATAGTCGCCTTTTACGGCAAACATGGGTTGCTGAAGACCTATTCTACCCCGTATCTTCACGGGTCTATTTCTACAGGTAGGGCCAGTAGGTAGGTGGATCACAATAATAAGTTGGAATTCAAACCCATGATCAGCTAATCCCACACCATCAGTACAGAGAATACATGATGAATAAGTTCCTTGCGTCATCTTCACATCACTCCCCAACACTTGTCCACTACGGATCGATGTATTAGTTCATGGCATTACACTGCAGCTTTACTGCATATAGACATGCACAACTCTACTCCTTTTTCTTATATACTGTAATCTTCCTGTTGATGTCAAAATCTCTCCAACACCTATTGAGCTATTTTTTTAATCAATTTTTCTACGAACTGAATATATTAGAATAAGTTCTATTGCCATCAATAATTAATTCTTTGATTTTATTCAAATGTTAATTTTAATACTTTGGGATGCAAAACCTGTTAATTACAAGTTGTACAAGGGCACACAATCTATTTTCAAACATGTAGGATTTGAAATAACAATACCTTCACTGAAAACCTGCATTTCATTTTTTACTTGCAAACGTCAGAGCTGATTTACTAGTATTTTCAATGGATGTTAATTAATATTCACGATCTGAGAACCACTGCCCACTAATGACTAGGTATAGTGCCAAATCCTATTGACGACGTAATCGACAAATCCAATCTAGGTGATTGTTAGACTGTAATCGAGACTACAGTCACATTTACCATTCACCCTGAGACTTTAACAGAACAATACACACTGTTAAGTGATGGCTATGGATATTAGGTCATTATTTCAGGAAGTTAGAAAGATTAGTACCAATATGCTGGCTACCATATGATGTTGAACACTGAATTGCTTTTAACATTCTTTGCAGGGAGTTTGCTTCTATTTTAGTAAATTTTGGTCTTGATGTCTCTTTACATTCACACAAAGATATAAATGAGGCATGACTTTTAAGAAGGTTCATGTGGATCTGATTGTTTCAAAAGAAATGAACCATAGCTCACCTGTTTACAATCATTAACTGCATAATTGTGAAGTCTCTGATCATGAATTATATTACCTGATGATTCCATACTCTGTGTTCCAAAACGTTCAACAGTAAAAATTCCTCTCAGTACAGCAGTGAACTGTGCAGACTAGGGCTGGGATGGGTAACTCGGGTACTCGGGTCGGATGGGTACTGAGTAGGACCCGGGTACCCACAGAACTACCCGGACCTGTGGTTAGTCAAGTGATTATATTTTTAATGGCAAAAATTATCTAGAACTCTGTGGTTACACTATAAGTAACAAATGTTCACATTTCTTTCTGAATATGCACACATTCCTCCTGACATTATATGTTTACATAAAGATAAAACTTCAAACAACTTCAATGTATGCATGACCAGATAATTTTATACCTGTATCTAAATACATTTTGACAGGAGTACGGTCAAACGTTTCCCAATCAGACATTTTGTACATCTCTCTTGATACCTACAGCGGGTACCCAAGTAGGGTCGGGTAATAGGGGGGTGGGTACCCGATAGTAGATTGGGACTCGTCCCAGCCCTGGTGCAAACCATGTAAAATGCAACAGAATGTTTTTCAGAAAAAATACATTAATCATTATTCTACATGGACATTTACTTGTCTCCATTTTAACTTGTTTGGTTTTCCTGTGAAACCTAATTTAGATGATTGACAAAGTGAGGTACTGTTAACTGTTCCACCACAGGAATCACCATGGTCTTGGGGAAACTCATTATAATGTGTGGCTTTTCTTTCCAACATTCTCAAAGCAACAATAGTTTCGGTCATTATCTATTATGTCATGGAGAGTAGTTGACACCATGTGACCTTAATGCCATGAAAATGTCAAGCATGGAAATTACTATTTTCAAAATTAATAATGGAATTTAAGATTTCCAGCTTCATGGCCATTGCTTGAACAACACAAATGAATGGAAACACCAGCACACATCCCCGAGTTGAAATACCACATCAGATCATGTGATACAGTGATTAATGGGGCTTCACTGAACGTAACTTTTGTTTTTAGTTTACTGTACCATGTATCTGGATCATAAAATATAACCTCTGTCTTGTGTGTATCACCTGGTTTTACAATATTACCTATCTTTTGAGTCAGGGACTGGTCATTTATTATAGCGAGGGGGAAGGTCGTGAGAAAAGGGGAATGCCATGACAAGAAGTAACTTGAAATGAGAGAGGTAAGCACAACTGGAGACAGCCCTGAGACCAACTAATTGGATTATACAGTATATCCTGTTGTGAGTCAACCAATTGGATTATAGAATATACAACTTCTGTTTTAATATGTCCCATGAAAAATATATCTCCTTGATCAGTGTATCTCATCCCTCAATTTAAGCCCTTTTTGTGACAGTTCCCATAACCATGTCTGTCTTCCATTACCAAGTAGTGTTGCCATGGAAACCACACACATGGAATTAATATTTGAACAGCAAAATGACAGTCCTTATTTCATATTTGTTTGAGTGAGATTCTGGTTCTTGCACTTTTGTGATAAATAGGGGCTGTGGGGTAGCTGAGTGGTTAAAGCAATCGCACGTCCCACCGACAGCCTGAGTTCAATTCCCCACATGAGTACTATATGTGAAGCCCATTTCTGGTGCCCCCCCACTGTAATATTGATGGAATATGGTTAAAAGTGGTGTAGAATCATACTAATTCCCTTCCTATAATAATAAGTCCTTTGGAAATAGTCAAAAAGTAGTTTTCCTAGTTGACATATTACTGAAATCACAAAATCGGATATTCTCTACATGGTGTAAGCTGCCAGTTGACACTGCGGTAGAACCTATTGGTTCGTGAATAGTTTGACAGGCATTTCTTGGAAGTTGACAGATGGCAAAAGTAGACTCAGATTAAGGATAACAACATATATACTAATATACTATTATAGTGATGGATACTTATACTGTTGTCAAGCAGTTAAAGAAGTTGTTATCCATTAATTGTGTCTACTTTGTCAAAGGTTTCATTTTTCACCCTCTCATTTCATTTACTCGAATACTATCAGCATAACTCTGGCTTCCTAAAATACAACCCTGGTAAGCCATGTAATTAGGATAGGCAATAAAACACACAGAAACCAAAACACTCCAACTTGCATGTGATTGAATGTTAAAATACATTCATATATGATACATATATGAACATACATCAATTAGGCTATATGTTAATCAATATAACATATTAAAACATTTTATAAAATATTAACAGCTTCACATTCATATTAACGCTGCCATCAGTTTACAGACATCATTAAACATATTAAAAACAACCACCCAATTCTTTAACATATCCGATCTGACGGTATTTTCATTTCGATGTTGGCTAACATTTCAAGACTATCCCGGACACAACGCTATATGTTGTCCGTTTGAACATTGAAGATTACCTGTAATACACATATTATTCTCACCTGTGCCCTGTGTGAAGTTAAAAATCGTGTCTTCGACCGCCAGTTGTGGAATGAGCAATATAAGGTGTGGGTTTCGCGTTGTAGTCTTGCCTCAAACACCCTGCAAATCCATTGAAAGAGCTAAAAATATCAGCATTCTCGGTCAGGCAGAACCCGTCCTGCGGGTTCACGGTGAGTGTCGTCTGCTAACTAGACTTGCCGGGGCCTCAAGTGATTATTATCCACCCTCAATGCGGGCAATGCTGATCGAGTGTGTTATTGAACAGAACCGTGAACGTTTCTGATTGCTTTGATACCACAAACGCTATGTAGCCGGGCGTGGTGTGATGTGTCCAGCCACTGGGCTGCTAGTCAAAACATGAGGCAGTTCTTGAAGATGATGATGATATTTATTCCTTTGTAGTAGATGGTGGGAGGGAAGCTGTAAACAAGAGTCCTCCCTCCATAAAGAGTTCATGCAGAATATGTTATAATTTAATTTAAGCCAAAAGGAAACAGATTAATTTATAAGGATATGTTGGGTAGCACATGGTTGAAGCACATGGTTGAAGACCATGTGCTCAATTTATGTAACACAAAATGTGTGAGCTGGCAAATATATAGATATGACAAATTAAATAATAATGCAATTAAATATATTTTACTTTAATGAAAAGCTGTGATACCCTTTCTATGAATATAATTGTTTCTAAAGCAGGATGGAAAGAGATAAGAATATTGAAATGTTTCTCACCTGTAAACAAGAGTCCTTTTAAGGGCTTATAGTGTTTTTGTGTGTTTTGGAACTGTCAGGGTGAGGATGGTAATTTGGGGGGTTGGGAAAGAGGCGGTTGTGTTGAGGATGGTTGGTTGGTTGGTTTGTTGATAAACGCCGCACTCAGCAATATTCCAGCTATATGACGGCGGTCTTTAAATAATCGAGTCTGGACCTGACAATCCAGTGATTGATATCATGAGCATCGATCCACGCAATTGAGATCGATGACATGCATCAACCAAGTCAGCGAGCCTGACCACACCCGATCCCGTTAGTCGCCTTTTACGACAAGCATAGTCGCCTTTTACGGCAAGCATGGGTTGCTGAAGACCTATTCTACCCCGGAATCTTCACGGGTGTGTTGTGGATGGAGGGGGTTATCATGGTGTGAGCGGTGGTATAGTTACGCTGGGGGTTGGGACGCTTTAGTATGGTGAGAGCTGTGGTGCTTATGCTGTGGGATGGGGTGGATATGTCGAGAGCTGGGGTAGTCATGGTTGTGAAGTGAAATCAGCAGGACTGGCACAGACGTCGCAGACGCCGAAGTTCGCTGTGCAGAGTTGCGTCCCTTCAGGCGTGCCAGAATCCTATGTTCTTGGGTTCGAATCCTATATTAGCCCTGATTATGATTCATGTTTGTGTGTACCACACCAGTGAAGATTGTTTGCTTATTCGGTCGTCGCAGAGTTGCGTCCCAGGGGCACGCCAGAAAACCTATAACTGTTGGTTCGGATCCCAGTTCTAGGTATATCATCTCACCACCGTGGGTCACCATAGTTGTAAAAGCCTACGTCTTCATCACTTCGGACGCTACCCTCCCACATCAAGTTGACTTACTGCAATACAAAGGAAATCTTTCAAAGTGGACTCAATTCCAACTCGCTCACTCACTTAAATGCCTGGAAGAAACACTGATAGCCATAGCTGGGGACATTCCCTTTTTGAATGATCTTAAACATTTACTAGACATCCATTTCTGAGTCAAACCATTTCTTTTGGAGTACCATGGATATATATGGATATATTATGCAGAAGCTCCAAATCGCACGTTGGTTGAAGTTCCTGATGATAATTATTTGTTTTTTTAGGTTATTTAACGCCACGCTCACCAATATTCCAGGTATGTGACGTTGGACTGTAAATATACGAGTCTGGACCAGACAATCCAGTAATTGACATCAGGGTTTTACATGACGCAGAAACGTGCGTCCAGGACGCACAAATGCATGTGTAGAATGATTGGTTTGGTTTGTTTGTTGTTTAAAGCCGCACTCGGCAATATTCCAGCTATGACAGCGGTCTGTAAATAATCGAGTCTGGACCAGACAATCCAGTTACTGACATCATGCGCATCGATCCACGTAATTGGGATCCATGACGTGCATCAACCAAGTCAGCGAGCCAGACCACCCGATCCCGTTAGTCGCCTCTTACGATAAGCATAGTCGCCTGTTACAGCAAGCATGGGCTGCTGAAGACCCCGGATCTTCACGGGTCATGTAAAATGAATCCCGAGGGACTTTACAGTACCACACTACGCCATTTCATTACTTTACAAGACCGTTATGTTTCCTGTAAGAGCCTTTGAAATAAGAAATTGTTGGCCCCTTGGGCCCCCAGTTTTGTTGGTCAATGTGAAACTCTCTGGCATCATGAGTATCGATCTACGCAATTGGGATATGACGACGTGCATCAACGGGTTTTTTTTCTTCGTTTTTTTCTGAGACTGCGAGCCAGACCAGCTGGTCCCGTTAGTCGCCACTTACGACAAGCATGGGTTGCTTAAGACAATTCTAACCCGGATCTTCACGGGGGAGTTGATCGTTTAGATATAACAGTATAATCATGTAGTTTAAACATTTTGAATTAAGAAGTGTTTGTTTATTAATGATTCATTTCAGTAGAAATAATTGCCCAATCTCCATTTCTGATTTACAAAAAATATCCAAATAATATAATTATTCCGAAAGTTAATTAATTTCAAGGCAAACTCTCAACGAGGCATATTCCACATGGATTAAAGAAATGAAAAATCACACATGCGCACATCCAGGACAATAATGTATTCATTTTATATCCCAATTTCTACCTGTTACAGGGGCGGCCGGGTAGCCTAATTGTAAAAGCGTTAGCACATCACGCCGAAGACCAGGGTTCGATTCCCGACATGGGAACAATGTGTGAAGCCAATTTCTTGTGTCCCCTGCCGTGATATTGCTGGAATATTGCTAAAAGCGGTGTAAAACAATACTTACTCACTCTACCTGTTACAACCAAGGTGCGATGACATGGGATTTAACGTCGCGTTCAAGATTATATAGCGACGACGTGCACGCACTTGTGTTTTATGTCTTTGCACTAGAACATGCATGCACACAACTTATAACCATTTGAGAGTGCTGACTCACGGAGATATCATGCCGCAGTTAAACATGGATACCCTACTCAGACACAGTACACTGACCCCTATCCAACCAGTCATTGTGTTATCCCCTTAATGCTGAGCACCAGGCAGGGTAACAACAAGTACCATAGTTTGGTGTGTTGCTGCCAGGGGATCGAACCACCGACCTTCAACTACACTACCAAGGCAGTGTGTTTTGGTGTACACGGTGGGGGACACCAGGACTAAGCGTTAAGGCTCTGTACCCTAGTTGAGAATCGAACCCGGGTCTGGGCGTCACGCTTTAACCACTAGGCTACCCCACCGCCCTTTATGCTGTACATGAGGGGTGTATCGATATATTGCCAAGGTAATTAAACTTCTAGAAGTAATGCTAGGTTAACGTTTTGTATGCAGAAGCTGAAATTTCAACATGGATGTAAAAATGACGTATTACTCTCTGTATTTTTCACTCGTACCACTGTATCATTGCACATAGAAACCTAACACAGACTTTTAATGTTACTTAGCCACATGTAGCCTATTACGGTATACAGTGATGCTAATTACATAAACAGGCAAAGGAAACTTGTAAATGTAAGTAACAAATATATTTCAATTGTTTTATGTAACAAATTCACAGATATTCACTCCCAAGCTCATTAATTGTCAGAAATATACTGCAGTCCATATATGGCAACTTGGCTCGTGTGAGGCACTAGCCACGAACACGTGTTCACGTTATCATGACACGCTGCTCGTGCGGCACGCGCACGGTGTCTGGCACCGCACCTGCAAGCTGTCTGTGCAGCGGAATGAAACATGTCGGAATTAAATTTCGCTCACGTGACGAGACATAACCGATAGTGACATTTTAATTTTTTCTTATATGTAAGGAATATTATTATGCACAATTTCAACATATCGATAGAATCAGATTAATATTTTTTAAAGTCGTGAAATGTATCAGTATTGATCTGTTGGATCAAGAAAAGTTCAAGTAAAAGTTTGGCAACTTTCCAATTTAAAATTGTCGAACGAGTACATTAATATTAGGTTCGAACCCAGCCAGAGCAAATACTATTTCCCGTAACGTCTGGTGAATATTCATATACACGGTCAACGTGAAAGATCGACCTGGAGTGAAATTAACACCACTGTCCAAGTTGTGCGTAGGTGGACATAGGTGTTTTGGGTCAGTTCAAAAGAAAAGAGGTTACGTCATAGTGGGGAAATCTGGCGGTGTACATGTATTTCTTTGAGTAGAATATATCGTGAAAACATGCTGGTGTTTAGTTCATATTGCTTTAGTTTTAGTTGTTTTAGTGGATGACGATATTTGTTACTTTTGCCGATGCTGTCGTTGAGATGATTTCACGATAAGATATAGATAGAAAAACCGTCGAGGAATCTTTAATTTAGAGTAACTCGCAAAAAATAACATTTTTAAGTTGTTGCTATAAGAAGCACTACAAACTGAGGAATATTTTTCACATCTTGTCAAAATAAAACTTGAACATTGACATATTTCGACAAATCAAGCTTCGGGTGGGTGCATCCAGCTTGTAGAAAGCGCGTGCTGCACGTGCTGATCGGCTTTTTCCTGATCTCAAGTCTATTGACACCGGCGTGTGCATAGACAAGACATAAAGCACGAGCAGTTTAAATTTTATGTAATATGCTGTCGTATATAGCTCAAGAAATCGCAAGCATCTAATCAGATATCGGCTTGAAGCGAAGCGAACAGTAGGTGCTTGAGGAAAAAAGATTTGAGAAAATGGAAGGTGTTTCCGTTTCTAACTGGAATCTTTCTAATAAACACAGCGAAGAGGAAAGTATAGAAAGTTACCTCAAAGCATGGGATGCTATCAAGACGTTAGAGGTGGGACCTTCTCATGTCAATCTGGCTGCTGAAATTGCCAACATGTTTGTGAAAGGTGGACATTATGCAAACATGGTTCACTTTGTGAACAGCCTAGATGACAACTTCTTGGACAAAATGAAAGAAAATGAGAAGTTTGTCCGAGCATTACTGAGTTTGAGGATGACACAGCGAAAATATAATGAAGTTTTTTCTCTTCTCGAGGTGAGAAAGTTGAACTTAAATACTTTAGAAAGCATTCATATATTAAGCTACAATCATGCATATTTAGACATGCATGTATAGATGGAAGGAAACGGGATTATAAGAAGTTACCACATACTATAAATATCATCTTTCATAGAAAATAGAACAGATCTTAAATCTGTCATGATACTAAAATTATGTTTCCTCTAAATCGTTATTTTGGTGTAATTGTGTAACAGTAACAGTATCCATCAACAATTATGAATTCTAAATAATAAATAAGAATTAGTTTTGCTGTCCTAATTAATGTAAAACGTCCGACCGTGATATATCCCATGCCTCAAAATTTGAAAAAAAATCCTAACCCCTGGCTAGAAATATTCAAAAACCATTAATGTAACAAAATATGATTTGGAACAAGCTATTTAAAGTTACAAATATTTACATTTAGGGTTAGGTTTAAATTATGAAGCAGCGGGTACGGGCGGAAATTGTCCCCCTAATTAGACCAAACGTTAAACTGCCTTCATATCGCTGGAATATTGCTGAATGCGGCGTTAAACAACAAATATACAAACCCTAAGTAATGTTTGTATTGAATAAATAGTTTTATGGGCAAAGGATTCTTGAAAACTGAATATGTTCCAAAACAAGCGAAAAAATTGTACTCCTATCTTGAATACAACTAGATAGTAAAGATAAGACAAATTCACAATTTTAATATAAACATGCTTATGACATTTTGATTGCTATCTGAACGCTTGCAGACAACATCCGCCCGCAAAACGTCTTCATCTCCTAGAAACTAGAACCATTGCCGAAGGTCTGTCATGCATCTGGCATCCGCAGCGTCCCACTGTGAAATTAGCCCAAACTGCATGAAACGTATTTTCGGTAATTTGGCTAAATTTAATTCGGTCGGATGATTGAATGGACAATATGCACTCTGAAAATAATCTGGAATTGTTTATTTGTGTTCAGCATGCAAAACATTGAGTCACATTTAATGTTTCTTGGATTTTTGGGGATGGGGAAATTTTACTGCCATGTAGTTATTACATGTTCCTCGTTTTGATGCAGTGAAAGCACGTGACTGGTCATCGACTGATTTGCGATAAGGTCACATCTGCTGCATTTGGACTTTAACTATCAGAAATATTTATTACTTTCCATCCAGCGTGTGTGCGTTTTTCTATTTACCCTATTTTCCAGTAATTTAACAGTAATTACATATAAGTACAACAATCGCGTCTTGTGTGTTGAAAAACTTGTCCCAAAACACAAGGTTTAATGATTTCAGTAGGGTCGGTGATAGGAATGAAATACGGCTATAGAAACATGCATATGCCAGTGATCTCGTGAAGATTTTGTCAAGTCAAGAAAATAAAACAGTTGTTTATGACTGACCAGTTCAAATACCTCTCCACTTACCATATTAAGCTACTTTTCTTTCAATGAAATTTTAACAAACTGCCGAATCTCAAGTTTTAATTCCACAATTATTTAACAAGTTAAATGAAGAACATGCGAATTCCTATCTCAATGATTGGGTATTCATCTGACCTGGTAGTTTGTTTATCGGTCCACCCCGGCGACGCGGGACGTTGTTTATTCTGTCACGGCAGAGTGGCCGCCTTTGGGCTTGCCTAACCCTGTGATCGTGGGTTGGAATCCTGGTTCGCCCTGATTGTTTCTAGTGTTCATCAGCACCATGCCCGTGCTTGTGGGTTTCACCAAAGTGGTAACCGTCTTTGACTTGCATCGCGTCAGGCTTTCCTCCCACAATAAGCTGACAAGCCGTGATATAACTGGAATACTTTGGCGTTAAGTACGTTAAGCCCAACTCACTCACCCACCCACCCACCCACTCACTCACTCACTGTGATGTCACCCGTGAAGATCCGGGTTAGAATTGGTCTTCAGCAACCCATGCTTTTCGAAAGAAGCGACTAACAGGATCGGGTGGTCAAGCTCGCTGTCTTGGCTGATGCATGTCATTGTATCCCAATTGCGTAGATGGATCCTCATGATGTCAATCACTGCATTGTCTGGTGAAGACTATTATTTACAGACCGCCGTCATATAGCTGGAATATTGCTGAGTGCGGCGTTAAACAACAAACAAACAGTGTGATGCCAACCCCTGATAAGTTCGGTTAATATATTAAGAATATGGCCGGACTATCGTTTTCAGTGGCGTTAAACATTTCACTAGCTAAATCGAAATATCATAAACGTTTATGTGATTTCTCTTTCTTTTTGTTGGATCAATTGTACACAAAAGGGAAAATAATCAAAAACCTAAACGTATGGTAACATGTCTTATTCCACATGTCTCAATCTACCTGATCTTGCTGAAAGAGATGAATACGATATGAATTCAAATATGCTTTGTAACATCTGTTCAGTGAGAGGTGTTGAAAGGGAAGCCTGGTGGTTAAAGCATTCGCTCGTCACGCCAAAAACCTGGGTTTGATTCCCCATATGTGTACAGTGTGTGAAGCCCTTGTCTGGTGTCCCCCGCTGTGATATTGCTGAAATATTGCTAAATGCGGCGTAAAAAGATACTTTTGTTCAGTTTGGGGTAGCCTAGTAATAAAGCGGTTCGATGCCCAAGATGGGTGCACCGTATGAAACCTATACTTGGTGACCCCGCCACGATAATTCTATAATATAGTGCCGTTTAACAACCTAATCCTGGATTATTGGGTGTATGATATTCTATTTTGAGCTCTGCGCATGTGCGAGGAGAGGGTGGACGTGTATTTCTCACTCTTACAATGGGAATCTCTATGTTCTAAAATATCGTGCTAAAATCGGATGATGTGTTAAAGGCAAGTCAAAACAAGCACGGTGTACCTACAAGGGTGGGAGGGGGGGCATCAAGGGGCATCAAGCAACACTATTAGTGAGTGGATGAGGTTCAATCGAACCAAGTGATTGTGAAAATCTTGAAAATGCTGAGGGACATTAAAACTAATACTTCGACAATGAATGACAAGTTTGAAACAACAAGGTCACGAAATGGCGTCCGACTTCAACCAGAAACGCCATGCTCTCGGGAGGAAAACTAACAACTTCGTGGTTCGGTGACGCAATTTGAGGAGGAACTCGAAGATATGAAATGCACTGATCGGAGGAACAGCCTGATATTTCACGTCATTGAAGGAGGTAGGGATAAGTCTTGGGAAGTATCGTTGGGAAAGACCGACATTTCGTGACTGTCAAGTTGAATATGGAAAACAGCAACAATAGGTTGTCATTATACGTACTCGCAGACTAAGTTCAAGAAAGCAAGACACTCCCATCATTGGACCACTTCTACTAACCAAGGAAAAAGAAACATGTTTAAAAAGGACCGTGAAATACTTGGAAAGGATTCTTTAACAACGGTAATCGGAAGGTTTTTCACAACAAGTGCGCGAGGATCGACGAGCATTTTCCCCGTGGTTTGTTCAAGCTGAAGACGAGGGAAGAAGGCCTAAAATGCGGATAAACAGGTTAATTGTGAAAAGATTAATGTATGATAGAACATAAAATGATATTATTAATATCAAAGTTCTTGCGATCAGCAAACAAACCCCTCAGAATCGTCATAAACGAGACGCACCTGGGATAGTTTGTTTGGACCCGGAAGTGGAGTTACGCCCTCCTTCAGGGGAGGTAACTCTCGCAACAGCTTCACAAAACAACTTGTGTGAGGGTGGCAATGGACGTACTTTCCGTGTTCTATCATGGAACATGTAAGGACTAAATAAACAAGATAACCCGAATTCTAAGGTAAAACAATTCTGTAGTGACTTTGACTTGTTTGCTTTCTTTGAATCTTTTGCTCGCAGCGTAGACGACCTTTCATACTTATGTCCGGTTTTCGGTCATTCAACAGTGTCAGAGTGAAACGAAAACAACTCTGCCACTATAGTGATGGTGTCACTATTCATTTTAGGGATCACTGGTTAAGTAACAGGTATATCAGAAGATCATGTGATGATTTTGATAATACACTGTTTTTTTTTCTTCTGTTTCATACGTCCAAATGACACAGCTTTGATACTGACATATATTTCACATGACGAATCTCCAATATGGTAGGATGCAGATCAGATGGTAACTATGTGACTGTTATCTCTGTTGACCATCCAGAGAAAGAAATATGTTTTGCTGGAGATTTAAATGTGACCAGACAAAATGCTTTATAACCTTTTTGCCCCAATACTTGAATTAGAGTTAAAAAAAAGACTCAAGTTCTGGTATTTAGAAATGGGGGACCATTTCAAATGATAAATGGACATACACTGGTGATAATATTGAGGTTGTTACAATCTATAGATATGTTGGTTTAATGTCGCCTAGATTGATTTGGACACAGGCTCAAACTTGTCCAGCTGCTCAGAGCACTAAAGGGGCGGTCGGGTAGCCTAGTGGTTAAAGCGTTCGCACGTCACGCCGAAGACCCGGGTTCGATTCCCGACATGGGTACAATGTGTGAAGCTCATTTCTGGTGTCCCCTGCCGTGATATTGCTGGAATATTGCTAAAAGCGGCGTAAAACCATACTCACTCACTCACTCAGAGCACTAAAGCTGTGATGGCTATTGACAGATATCAGAGGACAGTGCGTGATGCCTGTTCATCGAAGAAAATTTTTGTCACGCTTTCAATGCAGCAACTTTAAACTGGCTGCAACCTCATTCAAACGTGGTCTCAGTTCTTGCTACCGCTAAACAAAGGTCTGAGGGCATCCCATTACGGTTCACCTTTCGTGAACTTTGACTGACCATTGAAATCACTAACAAGAAGTCGACCTTTGCAGTGTTTGTTTCAAACTGGCGACTTCCATTCCAGACTGCACTTTGAAAGTTTGAAAACTTGAGAAAAGAAAATTCTGGAATGTCTGATAGATGGTCGATATTCCCACAGGGCATGGAAAGTCTCTTCTGTTTCAGATATTTATCCAATTGAAGTGAAGATAGAAATACGTACAGAATACCACATGTTAACCTTTTTGCGGTTGCCTGATCAGAAAACACATCCCGACTGTCACTTTCCCGATTTGGTAAACGATGCTCTGATTGGTCTGATGAAAGGCCGTTCTGACCTTACCAGTAATTGGATGTCATCAGATCTTTGTTTCAATTTAAACTACCTAGCTGTAAATACTGGAAGATACCATCACATACTCTATTAGAAAAACTTTGTTCAGATTGTCTCCTTTGAGGAAAATACTACTTTGAGAATTAATTTCATAATTTGCTTGTGTGTGAATCATATACTACTTTGGGTACTGCTATTATAGGTAAATATACTACTTTGGGTACTGCTATTATAGGTAAATATACTACTTTGGGTACTGCTATAATAGGTAAATATAGGACATCCACATCTATTTATTGTTCTAGAAAACTTATTATATCTCAGGAGTATGAAATATTGCATAACACCAGTGTATATCTCCTGAAAGTACAGCAACATATACACAGTTGCTAACATTTTCAATTTGTTTGTAGTGATGTCTGTTTAATTGTATGTATTAATCCAGCAACCCATGCTTGTCTTAAAAGGTGACCATGCTTGTCTATGAGGCGACTAACATGATCAGGTGGTCAGGCTTGCTGACTTGGTTGATGCATGTCATCGATCCCAATACCGTGGATCAATGCTCACGACGTCAATCACTGGATTGTCTGGTCCAGACTTGATCATTTACAGACCGCCGTCATATAGCTGGAATATTGCTGAGTGCAGCGTTAAACAACAAACAAACAAACAAAGTATATATTAATCCAAGTATATTGAGCAGTTAAATATAATTCTGTTTATGAATGTATTTTGGGCCAAAGGCCTTTTTACTGAATAAAACTATGTCTGTATTTTGAAAGTAACCCTAGACCCATTTGCCCAGTCTTATTCCAAATATGCGAGGCTGAAAATAGCAATCCAATCAATTACGCTCGCGTGGGAGAGACCATCTTTGCAAAGTTACTGACAGGCTAGGATGCTGACGTCATTGACAAAACTGGGTCCAGGCTGTTTATCTTAACGGCATGGATGTATATTACACTGGATTATCGAGGATGACCCCAACACAGTTGCTTATTGTTTCAGAATGGCTGCTTCAGCAACAAAGACGGTCTGCTGGACATATGGGATGAGGCACATTACCGGGAGTGGGAGGAGCGCATGGGCAAGCCTCTCAACGCCCTGCTCAGATACAGAATACGACAAAGGTGGGACTATCTCCATGGGGTATAGGTCATATGGTAGCTTAGCAATACACGTGTCCGCGTTCGATTCATCCACAAGGGCACAATTTGTAATGCTTATTTATAATTGAATTGAATAATGCCTAAATCTTTGTAAAACAATATTTACTTTCTCCCTCGATGTAAATTGCTCAATGATTTAGTCATATTAATATCCAAAACTGCTGCAAAATTGCTGATGCGGCTGTAAGAAGTATATACCTCCCTCTCACATCAAGCAGCATTATACCAAACTCATTCACTTCAAGCAATTCTCACTCACTCCCTATTGTATATTAACATATATCTATGTGTTTGAAGAAGACCCTAGGTTATCCTCAACATGTCTTTTGCAGATTTCTGCCCCCTGAACATATCTGCCCAAACGGGACACGCCCCACGACCCGACTCCCAGGCCAAGCTCTGCAGATCCTGAGGGCGTGGCTCCTGGATCACCGGACGGATCCTTACCCTTCCAAGCTTGACAAGGACCTGCTTACGAAGAACTCAGGCTTGTCACCAAGTCAAGTGAAGACATGGTTTGCCAATGCCAGACGTCGCCTTAGGCTGAAGAAAGAAAGTAACGCTCACAAAAGTAAAGGTGGCCATCCATCATCTTGCAGTGAAATTGAGGCTGACCTGAGCTGCTCGGATGGGTTGTCCGACTCCCCCGAGGATCTTCTGTCTGGAGAGGACTCGACTCACAAGGAGGAGGGTGGGGAGAGTCGCTACGGAGGAGGAGATTTCCAGCAGGTTGATGGCTTGCCCATGGAGTTAAAGCAAATTGATAAAACCCCCACGGGGGACTTCTTCATCCCATATGCCGGGAAGAACCAGTTCTACAACAGTGTTGTCCATCAGCCATACCAGCCTCCAAGCTTCACCTATGACACCATCAGCGGACAGAAGGTGGAGAAACATGAGGTTGCTCGAGCTATCCGGTCTGTGGCAGCGGCAAGTGAAAAGCTGATCTCAACCCAGAAGGTGTCCACGTCATACCGACCCCAGTACCAGCACTCCACCCAGACCTCGGAGTACCTGAAGGCAATGGCGGGCATGTGTGAAGAGATCTCCCCTTCCACGTACCAGCTCGGCATGCCAAGAATCCCTGCACCCAAACACTCCATCTGTCAGTCAGTTCCTGACTACCATCCTCAGCAGCAACCTCGACAGACCTTCTACCAAGTCCTACAAGACGAGACCGTCAGGTACCTCTCCTACCAACAGGGTCCTGTCACGGAGCAGCCTCCTGCCTACCCAACGTTCCGCCCAGCCCCTTGTCATGACGACGCCTTTCCTCAGAAGCAGAAGAAGTGGTATCAGGGTCATGAAATCGGCCGGGACCAGACGGTGACCCGACCATATTCCATGTCAGCACCACCGTCTCTGGGGGTACTGACCAACCTGGACACCCGTCACACCTACCACCAAAGTAGCTCAGTAGTCCCCCCAGTCCACCAAGGGCACCCTCAGGAACCCCCCTGGCCTACATACCAGCAGTCCTACACCAGCAACTGCTTCCTGGGTTGTAACACTGTGGGCTCTTGCACGGGTTAGTTGTGTTCGTAGAGTAAGCGTACATCTTCCAATAGTGACTGCCTCCGTGGTCTAGTGGTAGAGCGGAAGGTCCGGGGTTCGATCCCCGGCTGCGTCATACCAAAAGACGTTAAAAGATGGTACTTGTTGTTACCCTGTCTGGCGCTCGGCATTAAGGGGCTAAAACAAGGACTGGTCGGCTCGGAGTCAGTATACTGTGTCTGAGTGGGGTATTCATGTTAAAATGCGACATGGTATCTCAGTGGGCTAGCGCTATAAATCGGCATCAGTCCGGACTAGTACATGCAGCCACACACACACACACGTGCATGAACGTCGCTATTTAAGTGCAATAATCTTGGATGCGACGTTATACCCAATTTCACCTCACCTCTTCCAATAGCCCAGTCGTCTAAGGCTCATGTGATCGATGTGCAGGGTTGTGTCCCCTGGGCACACCAGGAACCTATGGCAATGGGTTCTAATCCCTGGTTGCCCTGCTTATGTTTCTAGGTTTGTCAGCACCATACCCATGCATATCACCTGCATCCATGGCTTTCCTCCCACATTAGGCTGACACGTTGTGATATAACTCGATTATTGTTCAATGCGGTGTTGAACCCAACCCAGGGGCGGCCAGGTAGCCTAGTGGTTAAAGCGTTCACTCGTCATGCCGAAGACCCCGGTTCGATTCCCGACATGGGTACAATGTGTGAAGCTCATTTCTGGTGTCCCCCGTCCTGATATTGCTGGAATATTGCTAAAAGCGGCGTAAAACCAAACTCACTTACTCGCTGAACCCAACTCACACTCACTCTTTTGGGATCCCTTAACATTAACAAAATGAGCTCGTGGGCTGGTGTTAATTTCCATCACTGTGGTACAAGGTGTGTGAAAGTTGTGTTATTATGCATACTCTCATGTGTCATCTCGCTACACAGAGCCATACAAATCACAAAACATGTCTGCTTCGACTGACAAACTGTACACAATGTATATGTGCATTTTCAGCTTGCAAGCCGGCGACTTCTCGACTGACAAATGATGCTTCCACAGTTCCTCTCCCGCCGTTTGGTCTGGCAATGATGGGAACCACCGTTGCTACCCCCGCCATCCACAGCGAGCCACACCAGGCCCCTCTCCGCCGCACCCCCTCCCACCCCAGTCTGTCCAACCAGCCGGTACTACAGTGGACCCCCATGAGTAACTCCCCAGCCATGAAGTACAGGTCAGTTCCAGGGCTCGCCTTTAAGTTGGGTTTTGTTACTAAAGTAAACTGTTAACATACTCTTCCTGCTTCCAGTTGAGATCCGGGTAAGAATAGGTCTTCAGCAACCCATGCTTGTTGTAAGAGGTGACTAATGGGATCGGGTGGCCAGACTCACTGACATCATTGATGTGTGTAAACGTATCCCAATTGCATAGATCGATGCTCATGGTGTCAATCACTGGATTGTCTTGTCCAAGCTCAAAGGCTGAGTTTGTTCCAGACCTTAGGTTTGCAGTTTTTCAGGGACTGTTTTCAGCCTGGTTACAGTGTGAGTGAGTGAGTGAGTGAGTGTGTTGGGTTTAACGCCTCTTTTAACAGTATTCCAGTTATATCACGGCGTGTCAGCTTAATGTGGGAGGAAAGCCCGAAGAGAGGCAGGTCTCGGACGTTTTCCACTTCGTTGAAACCCACGAGCATGGGTATGGTGCTGACAAACCTAGAAACATAATTGGGGCGAACCGGGATTCGAACCCACAATCATAGGTTTCTGGCGTGCCCAAGGGATGCAACTCTGCACAGCGAATCTCGGCGCCTTAGATGACTGGGCTACTCGTGCCCCCCGGCCTGGTTACAGTGTTGATGATGATGATGATGATGATAACTGCATTTGTAGAGAGCAGCATTTACTGTGCATAAGTGCCCTGTGTGCTTGTGGCTTGATAATGTTTGTAATTTTTTAGTCAAACCTTTTTTTTCAAGTGCATATTTTCTTTTACCATGTTTGCATGACAGTTCATGTCAATATAGCAAGCCAAATAACACTTGGCTTGTCATTAAATAAGAAACATTGTTTTACCCTGACCAACAATTCTTTTCATATAAAACCATGTTTTCACAAAACAATTACTACCAAGCCCATGGTTCCGTAATCCATAGCCCTAGCTGTGAAATTATAGCTATATATCACTCCCATATCTCAGGATACGATGGACATTTGATACTTCAGTGCTCCCAAACCATTTACCTTCAATACAGCCAAACAAAATCAGCCCTGATATAATATCATACTCATCCCTCTCTCCTCAGAGCAACGACTCTTCCAGCGTTTGCTGCATCTTTCACAGTCCCAGCATCCTCTGTCCCTCTTCCCTCACTCTCCTTGAACTTCATCCAGCAACAACAGCAAGGTCAAGGTCAAAAGTCGACTTCACCCTCCGCAAGGGAACAACAAAGACCACACGCACCCAAGAGATCAATTGAACCGTCAACAACATCGGCCTCCGTCCACCCGAAGAAACGTCAGCGACATCAAAGTCAGCCTGTTCGACCAGGAGACCGTCAGTTCGAACCCAACTTTCGTCTGACGGACGACACTCTGCCTCGACCGACAGCCCCTCGGCAGGTGTTGATGGCCACAGAACAGCAGCCTCCGTGTAAGGCGAAGCTCAAGCGATCGTGTAGCACAACAGAGGAAGAACTGAAGAACGTGAAGGACACCAATCCTCCACTCATGTCAGACTGGTCCAAGATGTTCTCCAGACCTACCAGCCAAGACGGCATCGTTAACGGACAACCTGCGCATGTCAAGACGACAATAGCTGCAGCCAATCAGATGATGCCGCCCAACGCCCACACACACTTGAAACGTCAGGAGAACTGCAGTGTGGACGCCAAAGAGGCCCTTGAGTAAGTTTGTTAGAATTTCTTAGCACTGTCTCGTAAATGTATGCAAAAGATCTATTAACTATTTAACCGAATTTGGGGGTTAACCGCAATCTTTGGGAGTAGAGGGGCTCTCTAATACCTTTTCCCCTGACCATGGCGTTTCTGTCACTAACACACAATTAACTGTGCAGAGTTGTGCCCCTTGGGCACGCTAGAGACCTATGCTTGTGGGTTCAAATCCTGTTTTGCCCCGATTACTTTTGTAGGTTTGTCAGCATACTGTGCTCGTGGGTTTCACATAAGTAGTAAACGTTTGAGACCTGCATCACTTTGGCTTCCTCCAAGTTTAAACTGACACGCCGTGATATAACTGGAATGCTGTTGAAAGCGGCGTTATACCCAGCTCACTTACACACTAACACTCTGTAACTGTCGTGGTGTTTCTGGTTGCAGTTCTCCCTCTCTCGCTCCCAGTCTGTCTACTCCTACACCAGCTAACTCCACCGAGGTATGTACACTATAACCTGAACCCGCATCTCACTCCAACAGTCTGTAGACATTCCGGGGAGACAAAAATATGGAGACTTAGATGGGGATCACTTTGTCACAATGGTTGATGTTTAAGAAAAGTACTTATAAATGTAGGGCAGACAACTCACAGTTGTGGCAAAGCTTTCCCCACAATGTGATCTCAGCTCAAAGCCTTAGATCAGTCTCTGTAGCAGTATTTGTATGTTACATATGTCCACTAAATTTGTTTTTAAAGAGTCCCTACCTGTGAAGGTCCGGGTTAGAATAGGTCTTCAACAACCAATGCTTGGTGTAAAAGACGACTGTGCTTGTTGTCATAAGATGCGACTAACGGGATAGGGTGGTCAAGCTCCCTGACTTGGTTGATGCATGTCATTGTATCCCAATACAGTGGATCGATGCTCATGATGTCAATCACTGGATTGTCGGGTCCAGACTCAATTATTTGCAGACCGCCATCATATAGCTTGAATATTGCTGAGTGCGGCTTTTAACAACCAACAAACAAATTAAAGAGTCCCTGGCATATGGTTCCCCAATAACCTGAACCTGACCAGATGCAATGAGAACAGTGCTAACTCACTACACACCCGTGGTGATGACTCCGTCAGTGTAACCTTTTCTGTCTCTCACCTGACTGCATAATTATCATAAATGTATAGGGGCGGTCAGGTAGCCTACTGGTTAAAGCGTTCGCTCGTCACGCCGAAGACCCGGGTTCGATTCCCGACATGGGTACAATGCGTGAAGCCCATTTCTGGTGTCCCCCGCCGTGATATTGCTGGCATACTACTAAAAGAAGTGTAAAACCCAACTCACTCACTCACTCACGCATAAATGTACATTATACATTAGTGAAATCAGATTCAAACTTTGAATAGAAAACTGTTATTTGTCGGTCTCATAAAGGCTCATTTTCATGAAGAAAAATAATTTTATAAGTCTACTTTGAATGTCATATATAATACTATTTCCTATTTCATACGGCAACATGGCGTGGGATTCAGTGTATCGGACATTATGTCATGCGCCGTACACCAGCCTGTAAAATGGTCTTGTTTGTTTTTTGTTTAACGCTGCACTCGGCAATATTCCAGCTATATGACGTTGGAATGTAAATAATCGAGTCTGGACCAGACAATCCAGTAATTGACATCAGGGTTTTACATGACGCAGAAACGTGCGTCCAGTACCCACAAATGCATGTGTAGAATTTTTGGTTTGGTTTGTTTGCTGTTTAACGCCGCACTCACCAATATTCCAGCTACATGACAGCGGTCTGTAAGTAATCGAGTTTGGACCAGACGATCCAGTGATTGACAACATGAGCATCAATCCACGCAATTGGAATCCATGACATGCATCAACCAAGTCCCGTTAGTCGCCTCTTACAACAAACATAGTCGCATTTTACGGCAAGCATGGGTTGCTGAAGACCTATTCTACGGTTTCTGTACACTGGTAATTGATCATGTTGATGAGGCAAAGTCTTCAACAACACTCAAACCTTTATGTAGCTTTACGAATGTCAGTCAGGGCTTGGGCCGGGACAAGTCCAAATTAACTACCCGGGTACCCACCCCCCTATTACCAGACCCTACCCGGGTACCTGCTGAAGGTCTCAAAAGATAGGTACAAACTGTCTGATTGGGAAAAGTTTGACTGTATATCTGGCAAAATGTATTTAGATACAGTAGAACACGGATATAGCGAACAAACGGATACAACGAACTGTTAAAAAATCCCCGATTTATCTCCTATATAATATCATATAAAATTTACGTATATAACGAACTCTCTATAGCGAACTAACGGATACAGCGAACTGATACCTGATCACCGACAAGCCCATTTATCACTAATTAGCGACGTGTATAGCGAACTGAGAAATCTCACTCAGTGTTAAGTGTCACTGACAATTGGCTGTATGCAATCAGCGGCGAATCAAAACAATGGCAGCGAATCAATACAATCAGTGGTGACGGATCAACCTTGTTAAATCTGCATTGTGTTAATCTTACCTGTACATGTAATCTTGTCTGTAAAACAAACAGTTTTTGACAGTTTGGCGGATCTGAACGATGTCGTTTCAAGAATGCAGTCAGCGAAACGAATGAAAATGAAAAAACGTGTATAACGAACAACGGATATAACAAACTGATTTCTCTGGTCCCTAGTAGTTCGTTATATCCGTGTTCTAATGTACATGTATAAAACGATCTGGTCACACATACATTTAAGTTGACTGAAGTTTTATATTTATTCAAACTTATAACAGTCAGAAGAAATGGTGTATTAGTGACTTGTAGTGTAATCATAGAGATTTAGACAATATTTGTCATTAATCAATATATCACATGACTAACCACGGGTCTGGGTAGTCCTATGGCGGCTATGCTTGTCGTACGAGGCGACTAACAGGATCAAGTGCTCAGGCTTGCTGACTTGGTTGATGCATATCATTGTATCCCTATTGGGTATCCCTAATGGATCGATGCTCATGATATCAATTACTGGCTTGTCTGGTCCAGACTCGATTATTTATAGACTGTTGTCATATAACTGGAATATTGCTGAGAGGCTCGTAAAACAACAAACAAACAAACTTTATCAGCACATATATGTTCTGGTTTCAGTCTCAGGAAGGAATGAAGGAGATCGCCCAGGTACTTCTTGACCTCTCCACAAAGGGACCCCAAACGTCGTCTTCCGTTGCCAACAGCAGTCACAACATCAACAGATAGTCTCAACTTTAGAGCAAGGGGGAATAATCATGATTTAACCAATTCATAATGAAGTCTAATGATGGATGCCATTTGTCCTATTTTAGAACACAACAGAGGCATGTATACCAAGACTGTGTGCGAAGATAATATTTAACCCACTATGAAGCTCTAAGAGCTCTTTAAATCACAAGTGCTTTTTTATGGGTTGTATGCGCATGATGACGTAAACCCTGTGATGAAGTGTTTTACATTGTATATGTAAATCATTTGAGAATGTATTATTTATTTATTGATAAAAAATGTCATCAATTCAGTGGTGTGATATGCTGAACAAAAACAGTTAGGGATCATGAATATTTTTTTATTTTTTTATTTTTTTTATTTTATTTTTTTAAATTTGAAGATTGAGCACACAATTTCATAAAAATATCCAAAAATATATTCGTGATCCCCAACTATTTTTGTTCAGTATAATTCGCGATGAGGCCGTGCATTTAGTTCATGAGTTTTACACCTGTGTGTTGGGGAGGAAACAGCCACAGGTGAGATTGTTTAGATGCAGAATGAATGCATTTATATATTTATTGATAATTTTACAAGAAATATGTAATTTATTTTGTTTGTTCATGTCGGCTTCAATTGCAAGGTAAATATGAACATGTGGTAATTTGTCAAAATTATTTATCATTTACAATTTATAATGTTAACGACTAGTATTCCAATGTGAATAGGTATATTCGTTATCATGGGCTAATTATTGATATGTATGATATTCAGAAAGCTGTTGAGTTCATATCTATCAAATGTTATTGTTTTCTTATATGAATATGTGTGTAGTCTAACCATTACTAGCAAAGACCAACCCTGAGCTGTGACAGATTGTGTCATTGTACCTGGTCCAGGCTCGATACCTTACAGAATGATGTGGTGTTCATCACTGTTGCTGTTACTTGTTAACTGGTCATTTACTTGTTTCCTGGGGGTAGAAAAGGTCTTAAGCAACCCCGGGGCATGGGTGGCCCAGTCGTCTAAGGCGCCACCATTCGCTGTGCAGAGTAGCGTCCCTTGGGCATGCCAGAAACCTATGATTGTGGGTTCAAATCCCGGTTCTCCCCAATTATGTTTCTAGGTTTGTCAGCACCATACCCGTGCTCGTGGGTTTCACCAAAGTGGAAAACGGCTGAGACCTGCATCACTTCGGGCTTTCCTCCCACATTAAGCTGACACGCTGTGATATAACTGGAATACTGTTAAAAGCGGCGTTAAACCCAACTCACTCACTCTTCAGCAACCCATGCTTGCCGTAACAGGCGACTATACTTGTCATAAGAGGCAATTAACAGGCTCAGACTTGGTGGATGCATGTCATCGTGTCCCAATTGCATGGATTGATGCTCATGATGTCAATTACTGGATTGTCTGGTCCTGATTTGATCATTTACAGATCACCTTCATATGGCTGGAATATTACTGATATTGTGCGACGTTAACAAACAAACAAACATGTTTCCTAATATTGTTTGTCTGGTCTTCAAAGATAGATAGAGATTAATGGCTGAGTGTTCCTGGATTATAAAAATCATGTATGAGAAATACATCTTTTATGTTCCTTACCCCCGGTATATATGAGATATAATTATATACAATGTTAAAACACAGGATAATAATATCTTAATCATATGTCATTCTTAAAATAATGGATGTTTGAGACGTAATTTCACTCTGTGAAGTAGCTAGAAACTGTGTATGAACACAATGTTTTGAGTGAACTGCCGAATTTTTTATATAGTGCCAAATGACTTGCAGCCAATCTTGTAGCCATATTTCAGGTAAACATTGAGAAACATCAACTCAGTATATTGGGTATGTTATTAGTTCATGGGAGGGAAGGCATCACATTGGTGTATGTTGCACTTGAAAGTAGTTCCTGATAAATGCCTTAATTTGCATTTATATCGGATCAGGATACTCTATTTATGGGATTGGTTTATCTTATGGATAGCAAACCTTTAAATGATAAATGACCGACTTCTATGGGGTTCACTGTTGCCATTACTCATTAACCGTTCATTTCCTTGTTTCGTTATGTCGAGAAAACATCAGAAGGGAAGACACTGAAGTGCTTATAAGAAGTGTGGGGAAACTGTGAAATTCACAAGTAGGAAAGCGTTTGGAATGAGTGAGTGAGTGAATGAATGAATGAATGAATGAATGAATGAATGAATGAATGAATGAATGAATGAGTTTGGTTGTACACTGCTTGTTGTGTTCAAGCAATATCATGGCGGGGGACACCAGAAATTGGTTTCATTCATTGTTTTCATGTGGGGAATAGAACCTGGGTCTTGAGCGTAATGACCAAATGTGCCTTAACCACTAGGCTACCTCACCTCCCCGTTTTCAGTGAAGCCCTGATTGTCCGGAGCACCACACGTTCCCGGCAAATACTGCTCGCAATGCTTATATGTATTCAAAGTGACTTACCATAAGAATTAACGAGATCTCACTGTATATAGTAATGGGAGGATATTTTAAGCGTTTGTAATGGGCACCAAAGGAATGATGGGTAAAGCTGTGACAACACTAGACACTCACATACTGAGGGTCCAATTTGGTTGGAACAAGAACAGCACAGCAGTAATATTTTTTCTGCAATATTGCAGGGCTGGTAGGGTAGCCTAGTGGTTAAAGCGTTGGCTCGTTATAATGAAGACCGAGGTTCGATTCTAGAAATATATATATATATATATAACCTTTTATTCCTCCATAAAGAAGAGTACAAAAAAAAAGGAAGGAAATAATAGATGAACATTTAAGAGAACAACATATTATTTTGCATTAAATACAGTGTGTGAAGTCCCATTCTCGTTGCCCACCTCGTGATAGCGCTGTAATTGTGCTAAACTTAGTGTAAAACCTACTCACTCACTCACTCACTCTGCAGTATCCGTGTTAAAGCTGGAACACTGGTGATGTCCAACAACAAACACTAATATTTCATGTTCCCTTACTTTTGTCCATCAGCATCGTTTGTTACTATTTAAGTAAAGGTTTTTATCCTAAAGTTACAAATGTTAAACGTTCTTTGACGTTGAGTTGATGGTTAAATGGTTGTTGTAAGTTGTAGTTCAATGACGACTTGGCCTCTTTCACAATCTCATTAAAATCAGATCTTAGTTTTGGCTACCACTAAACAAAGATCTGAGGACATCCCATTACGGGTCACGTCAGAACGACCTTTCGTTAATTTTGACCGACCAATGAAATGACTGACAAGAAATCGACATTAGCCAAGCAGAAGGCAGCTTTCTCAAGCTTTACGACACTGGTTTCAAACTGGCGACTACTTTCGAAACATATTTTGACGTATTCTCGATTAAAAATGTTAAAACTGATAAGAACATTCTGGAATGGCTTATAGATGGCCTAGATTGTATGGATATAATCATAAAACCCGTAACTGTCAATCGGAATACCCTGTGTTAAATATTTCGTGGTTGCATGATCAGAAAACACATTCCGACTGTCACTTTCACGATCTGGTAAGCGACGCTGATTGGTTGGATGAAAGGTCGTTCTGACGTGACCCGTAATAGGATGTCCTCAGATCCTTGTTTAGCGATAGCGAAAACTAAGATCTGATTTTAATGAGATTGGCCTCTTTCACAAAGTGCATAATGCTAGAACTAGGAATCTAATTCTCTCTCACATGAACAAAACTGATAACACTGGCAACACTTTCTAAAGGTCCTGTTCATTTCTAAAATTATTCAGATTTTGGCCAAACATGGTCCTTATACCTAGTCCTTTGAGCACCTGACAGAATATGTTTTGACTCAAACTTGCTCTGACTGCCACTTAGCGAGAGCCTTGTCCCTTGTTCAGACAGCTTTGTGGAGCAGCGTCCTGGGCCCACTTTCACAAAGCAACCTTAGTGCTAAGACCAATGTAACTCCCATACTTGAGAACACACTTACAATAGCCTTAGCGCTAAGTTTGCTTTGTGCAAGCAGGCCACGTTCGGTTACACAAACTCCAGCAGGGTTGTCTGGTTTTCAGTCCTATAAACTGAAATGTAGATTTAATGGGGGACTATGCTCTACGATCTGGGAGCTGTTCCACAAAGCGATCTAAGCTTTAAGACTATTGTAACTCCCATCCTTTATGGCTTCCGACAGTTGTAGCGCAAAGTAGGGCTGGGACGGGTAACTCAGGTACCCGGGTCAGTTGGGTACTGAGTAGGACCCGGGTACCCACAGGACTACCCGAACCCGTGGTTAGTCACGTGATATATTGTTTAATGACAAAAATTATCTAGAACTCTATGGTTACACTAAAAGTCACTAATGTTCGCATTTCTTTCTGACTGTGCACCCATTCCTTCTGATTTTTCATATGGTTGAATAAAGAAATAACTTAATTCAACTTCAGGGTATGAATGACCAGATTGTTTGATGCATGTATCTAAATACGTTTTGCCAGAGCTATGCTAAAAATGTTCCCAATCGGACATTTTGAGACATCTCCCGAGACCTACAGTGGGTACCCGGGTAGGGTCGGGTAATAGAGGGGTGGGTACCCGGTTAGTAAATTTGGACTCGTCCCAGCACTAGCGCAAAGACTGTGTTGTTTGAGACTTTTGTGTGCCATCACAGGGGTCTTCGTCAACTGCTTGATGGTATACACCATAATGTTGGAATTACAGGCAGAATTACTAGTTGTTTTGAAGGAGTTGAAACAAATTTGCTTGGGCAGCCAATTGTCCCAAACCTAGTCTCCCTTTAACTGCATGGAACTGGTTGGATTTAATGGCCGTTACACACGTTGTCTTCCAAACTTTGAAATATTCTCCCGTCTTTGATCTAGCCAGCTTTACAGCTGTTCAGTGATGGAGATGAAAGGTACCGTGTTAATCCTGATAATACAGTGGCAATGAGTGAGACATTTAACTATAAGACATGTTTCAGGGCCTCTCGCAGTTAACATTATATTGAGGATGTTCAGTTTACTACTTTTTTGGACCCGTGAAGATCCGGGGTAGAATAGGTCTTCAGCAACTCATGCTTGCTGTAAAAGGTGACTATGCTTGTCGTAAGAGGCGACTAACGGGATCGGGTGGTCAGGCAATCAGGTTTAGTGACTTGGTTGGTGACCAGGCTGACTGTTGCTTTGTACTTCAGAGCCTGGATCAAATCGATCGTACGTGCTGTCAAACACTTATAAACAGGTAGGTGGAATATTGCTGACTATAAAACAACATACACTCACTCACTCACTCACTCACTCAAGACCTTTAAATTTGGAACCAAGATTGTCAGTTTCTTTGAGTTTGTGCAAATTGTAAAGTAGAGAATAATCATGGTAGAACATGCCACGCCCTGACAATATCCAAGTGTACCTCGAGACTTATGACATAACAAGTTCTGTGCATTCTGTTATGAAGTTATAACACCAGCCGGCGCCACATCCTGCCGTTTGCTGGTAGGCATGCGATGATATGTATACTAGTACCGGTATATCTTGTACCAACAGTAATTATTCATTTTAAGCAACACGTTAGTGCTGGTGAGTGAACCAGGTTATATTTAAGTTGATTGGGAATAAATTATTTTCCTTTTCCCTATTGTTGGTTGTTTCTTATGTGTGTGCAGTAGTTACTGAGAAAGATCCTCAGGATATAGTGTCTGGAGATACTTGTACACACACTACCTGGAAAATGCATCATCATCTCCATCATGTTGGATTTATTAGTTGGGGGTTTCTCTTTTTGCTGTTGTATTTTGTTTTTGGTTGGTTCACTTGGGTTTGTATTTTTAATTGCGGGGGTTGGGGATGGCGGTGTCTGTCCAAGATATATGTTGCGTTCCAGGGATGTGATTCACGTAACACATGAATATTTGATAGGACTGTGTACATGATGTATTTCTTAAAGAGAGATGGGATCACACATAGCTCTATTCTTCACTACGTCTGTTAGGCAATGTTAAAGAATGGAAGTTACATAACTCTTGGCGCTAAGCCCGCTTTAAGGGGGCCTTGACAATAAAATATTTTATAAAATTGAGGCAACCGGGCATGAAAATCTTATGATTCATGTATTGTCCCCAAACTAGCTATATATATGCATGTATGTAAGTGTTTTAATTTGCTTATAGTTTTATTGGTAAGGGAGGTAATTCTTTACAAATGTGATATGTTTTGGATATAACTGATGTAAAGTACTTATGAGAAGTGTTTAGTATCGTATTTGGATGGTGAGATCTGTAGAAACTTTATTGTATGGATGTCAGCTTAGGGTGACAGGCTGGTATTGAACTGAAGTGTGTTGAGAGCAGTGTCCGGAATAACTACCTGCCTGCTGGTAACTTCTGTCCAGTTGCGCGAAATTTGTCTCCACCTGCCAGGCTTTCGGGCAGAACATTTTAGCACTACTTATGTACTCCGTTTACTCCTCGAGTATTTTTTGCATTACTTCAACTAAATTGACACTGTTTGTCTCTTACTTTTTTTGCTATTTTCAATACTAATAATGTCTGAGTGCAGACAGGTAACTTTAAAGATGGGCAGACAACCTGACTGTCTTTTGGATTTTTCAAATTATTTCAAACACTTGTTGAGAGCGCTGTAGGGAACTCACCCACACAATAAAGTGTAAAGAAACGAGATTCATCATGATCGTGCATCGGCAACAAGAATACTATTGTAGTTTCCTCTTTCGTTACCCGCTTTTACTGAGTTCAAATCCCTTCTTGCCAAACCTCTTTTGTATAGCAAGTATGGTTTGCTTGTACCAGATCCGAACTACTGGATATTGTGAATACTCTTGTGCCACCACATTGTTACCGACCCCCAGATTCAGGGAGAATAGGTCACAATATCTCAGCAAAACTAAATTATGAATGGGTGGTTGCAATGTCTTTCTTGATTACCCAGTGTATAATATCTATTCCTTTAGGATACCAGTCCGTATATAAATATAGACCTAGTCACTGCCTGGGAGTTTTTAATGTTTCCGGCAGCACTTCACAGCAATTTTCGTCAAACACAACATAGTATTTTCCATACATCCAGCAAGTCAAGTGAGCTAATGTTTTTTTAAAACCCTAGGACAAATTATTTATTTTTTTCTTTAACATCTCCCAGAGAGTCTGTGTTTAATGTCGTGTTTGTTTGTTGTTAAACTCGCACTCAGCAATATAACAGCTATATGACAGCGGTCTGTAAATAATCAAATCTGGACCAGACAATCCAGTAATTGACTTCATGAGCTTTGACCTACAAAAATGGGATATGATGACATGCATCAACCAAATCAGTGAGCCTGACCACCTGATCCCATTAGTTGCCTCTTACAAGCATAGTCGCTGTTAACGGCAAGCATGGGTTGCTGAAGACCTATTCTCACCTTGATCTTCACGGGGGAAAATCCCTCAGTGATGACACTAGAGAGGGATGGCGCGGTGCTGACCCAAGGAACATTATCACACAGAAACTGGAACTCATCAGCTAATCCTGCATGACAAAGGGCTGCAACTCTGCACAGCAAATTGTGTCACCTCAGACCATTAGTCCGATGACAAGCACATACATGGGAAACTCACAAAGATTGTACTCTTTCACAGTAAATATACTACTCAAAAGAAGTTAAGGATCACCTGATTCTTTCATATTACTATAGTTAATCTCTCATGTCATAACAGATTAACTTTTCCATTATGAAAGAATCGGGTGATCCTTAACTTCTTTTGAGTTGTATATATTCTCAATTCTAAACAATGACTAGCTTCAGTCAACGAGAGCAAGCACGCACGCACGCACGCACGCACACACACCTCATTCCAATATCAAGAATCAGCAAAAACAGAGATAAGAAACAGTAAAAGTAGATTTATTCACATGTACACCTTGCTTATAACATGCAGTATTTACAATGATCATAAAATAGTATGTTCATATTTACACCATGTAATCATGTAACAAAGTAACCCTGTCTGTACCTGGATGTGCATGCACTCACTTCATCATGACACTCTGAGGATGACCAGAGCAGCTCAATAACACCCCCAGCCGTACCCATAAACGATGGGATGCTACAAACAATATCTCTTGGACAATATCAGTAATACAAGCATACAGATGATTTTACTGAAACTCCGGAACCTGAATCATGCTACCATGGGAACACACAAGACAATCATGACTAGAACAAGAAGCAGCAATGATGCAGAGTACTGGGATGTCTAGAATTTCCCATTTATACCTGAAACCAAACTGAATTTTATGTCCCTTTCATCAGCATTGAAGCAATACCATGGCAACCAAAATGAGAAAAACTTGACAAACGCAAATTCTGTTACCATATTCGCCATATAAGGCACCCTGGCCAACATATACATCAATTTGTAATCTTTATAAGCTCCTCGTACCAAGCTTGAACATTTACACAAGTCCATATTTCTTCTATCCTTCAGAGTCTTACAGAAAAAAACAGCAGTTTAGTAGAGGTATGTAGACGCCTACCGTATATGTCCGCAGATAAACCGAATTTTGAGGACCAGAAAAAAGATTCTGTAGAAAGGTTTCGGCTTATCCGCGGGATACACTTTCATGATAGTACTTTTCAGATCTGTCAGAAGCATCGCCTGAATGACGGTCCAATAGATTACAACTTCCCGAAAGTTTGGAAGTTGCCACGACTACAGCCATTATTGTTATAAATTATCAATAAAGTTATGATTATACACCAATGTTGTCATTGCATGTATTAACATTTTTTTATGCATGTTACAACTTCCGATCATAAGTTTTCAATTGAATGTTCAAAGAATGTTTTGTTGTTTAACGCCGAACTCAGCAATATTCCAGCGGTCTGTAAATAATCGAGTCTGGACCAGACAATCCAGTGACTGATATCATGAGCATCAATCCGCGCAATTGGGATCGATGACATGCATCAACCAAGTCAGTGAGCCTGACCACCCGATCCCGTTAGTCGCCTTTTACGACAAGCATAGTCGCCTTTTACGGCAAGCATGGGTTGCTGAAGACCTATTCTACCCCGGATCTACATAATAGTTAGTAGGGTAGTAATTATTATGAAAATGATCTGAGTTTCATCAACAAAGTTTATTCTCTCCCGCTCAATCTCCAACAACAAACTCAACTTGTATATGGTTCTCATAAGTGCCTCCTTGTTAATTTTCTACAGCAAATACGGTATCTCTAAAATCCATCGGGTTACTCTGCTGAAAGCATCAGTGATACAGAACAAGACGTAAGACAGAACCATATTGAAGTGGGCAACGTTCTAACAATGAAGAACTTCAAGGATATAATCAATATCCCTATCATACAACACAACATCATACTTAGCAGTACAAACATAGGCAAGGAAAGACATCTCATGATGCAACAGTTTGTCTCAGAACATCTGTAAAACTGGTGAAGTCGTCGAGCCCTGCTCCAGTTATTGGAACAACTCAATGAACACTGACGACATGGTCGTGGATAGAGTGAGCAACAATCTCATTAAAATCAGATCTAAGTTCTCGCTGCCGCTAAACAAAGATCCGAGGACATCCCATTACAAGTCACATCAGACCGACCTTTCGCGAACTTTGACCGATCACTGAAATGACTAACAAGAAGTTGACATCAGCCAATTAGAAAGCAGCTTTCTCAAGCTTTACGTCACTCGTTTCAACCTGGCAACTTCTATTTCAGACTACGCTTGAAAAATATGTTCACACAGTTCTCTGAATAAACGAACATTCCGGAATGTCTTATGTATGGTTGAGGTTGTATAGTAGTGCTATAGTGCCTCCTCCGTTCAAATGTTTATCCCACTGAAGCGAGAGACACTTGACAGAATCAGTCGTACGGCCCCTAACTGTCGTTCAGAATACCCTGTGCTAACATTTTCGAGGTTGCATGATTAGAAAACACATTCCAACTGTCACTTTCATGATCTGGTAAGCCACGCTTTTATTGGTTGGATGAAAGGTTGTTCTGACGTGACCCGTAATGGGATGTCCTCAGATCTTTGTTTAGCGGCAGCGAGAACTTATATCTGATTTTAATGAGATTGAGTGAGCAAATATACTACTCAAAACAATCTAAGGACCACCTTTCAAATTTCTGTTGTTAATCTGTCGTGCCAAGAAGGACCACCAAATTCCTTTATATTACTATAGATAATCAGTCAGACCAGATACACTGTAGTAATATGAATGAATTTGGTGGTCCTTAAATGGTTTTGAGTGGAAAATGTATGAATAATTGTTTAGGTGATATGAATATACATAAATAACACCAAATGCAATTCCAATATGAATCTTGATTACTAACTTACAAAATAACTTAGTCATGATAATTCTGTTTACATGCCTCTGCTCATGATATTGCATAAATTATTTGAGTAATTCGAGATTTTTTGTAGAACATTGCAAAAGAGATAAAACCATGTACCGGGGTACACAATAAAAACAGCAACTAGGGTTCCAACAGAAGTGGGCAAAGACTTATCTTATCATTCTGGGAGCAATGTCCTAAGCATGTTAAGACTTAATCTTTTTGGCATATTTGTAGTTGTCAATATAAATAGGTGTGACGTCAGGTCACCTGAATCGGACAATGAACCAGCACACCGCAAACACAAAAAGACAGAACAGAATCATGTAGATCCAGATTTTGTAGTGCCCGGCTTTCGTCAACGCCTTCAGTCGTCCCATCGTTGCCTGGAGGATGTTGCCGGAACTGTCAAAGTCATCATCCTGCAACAGACGGCACGGTGTCAAGTACCCAGGTACAACTCATGGCTAAGTATTGGTCCGAAAGACAGAGGTCAATCCAGGATTTTGACATTTTGAAAAAGGGGAACCGAGTTCACATAACGCCTGAGTTGATCGATTGATTGATTGTTGTTAAACGCTGCACTCAGCAATATTATAGCTATATGACGGCGGTCTGTAAATAATCGAGTCTGAACCATTCAATACAGTGATTGACATCATGAGCATCGATCCACACAATTGGGATACGATGACATACCTCAATCAAGTCAGCAAGCCTGACCACCTGATCCCGTTAGTCGCCTCTTACGACAAGCATAGTCGCCTTTTGCGGCAAGCATGGGTTGCTGAAGACCTATTCTGACCCAGATCTTCACAGATCACATAACGCCTGAGAGTGCAGTTAACTTGCAAAGTGTATACAAAAAGGGAGGGTGTGGAGCCATGCACACATTGATGTCCGCCTCCATGGCATAGAGATGGAGCATGTGTCTGGAGAGCGGAACATCGGAGGTTGAGTCATACCAACAGACATTAATGGATGGAATTTTTGTTACCCAAACTGGCATTTGGCCTTAAGGTGATAAACCAGGACAGATCGGCTCGGAGTCAGTATAATGTATGTGAGTGGGTGTCCATGTTAAACTGTGGCATGGTCTAGACCTACGGAACCGACATTAATGCCAACAAACAAACACACTTTGCTATATGAAAAATGCATGCAACATTAAACCCTATTTCACCTCACCTGATCCATCGAAGAACCAGTGTATAGCAATAATGTTGCCATGATACAAATACTGTATCAGTGTGTGCCATTAAAACAGTCCTGGGTGGTGAAGTGGGGCTTAACGTTGCATCCAAGATTATTACACTCACATATATAGCGACATGTATGTGTGTGTGGCTGCTAGCCCACACAGATACCATGCCACAGTTTAACATGAATACCCCACTCAGACACAGTATACTGACTCCAAGCCGACCAGTCCTTGTGTTAGCCCCTTAAAGACGAGTGCCAGACAGGGTAACAACAAGTACAATCTTTTAACATCTTTTGGTATGATGCGGCAGGGGATCGAACCCCAACCTTCCACTTTCCAGGCGGACGCTCTACCGCTTGACCATGGAGGCGGTCTCATTCCTGGAATCTATTACCAATGACATGAAATGATGAATGCATGTTGGACTAGTTCACAGTACTAGTTGTCTATGCAACATTACAATATGTTGGATTAGTTATTACAGTTTGGGGGAAAACTGCAACTGTGTTGGTTTTAGAGTAGTGGCTGGGTCACCAACATCTTCCCGAGGCAAGTGAGTTAACTGACTATTATGGAGTTACATTTTGGCTGGACTAACGAGTCTATGCATAGTCAAATCAAAATCGTGCACAGAAATCGAAATCCGGTTCGTAAAACTGTCGTGCAGATTTCGGTCGATTGCAGGATTTGCAAAACATGTGCACTGCCAACTCGTTGTCAGCAGATATTTTCCAAATCTTTTCATGTTTTTAATCAAGGTGCTCACGTGATTTGATGTATTTCACGATGTAAGACCTGTGTTATCACAATATAGATCTTGATTATCGATCAGATCGTCCTGACTGGGCGCCACCATTTTGGGTGAAACAAACGCAAGTGATACCAGAGGTAGAATCTGATTGGTCCATAGGAGAGGCTTAGAAGGGACATAACTGGTAATAGCCACTGGTGGCGCTATGATCGAGCCGAGTAATTCTAGCCTAGTTCGGCAAGAGTGGAAACTGGACTTTTAAGTCAGTTTACTCTCTTGCTTCGGGAAGATGGGTCACCAATCACATATCATTACATATACCATACTCAAGTATGTCTTTAATATCTGCCTTTGTGAGTGAGTAAGTTTGATTTTACGCTGCTTTTAGCAATATTTCAGCAATTTCACGACTGGGGACACCAGAAATGGGCTTCACACATTTGTACCCATGTCGGGAATCGATCCTGGGTTTTCAGCGTGACGAGCGAACGCTTTAACCACTAGACTACCTGACTGCCCTCTGCCTTTGTGAAGAAAGGTCCTACTTATAACCTGTATTTGCAGTGTAGATCTGATTCGTGACAAGCTAATGGGAACGGATTGTTGTAAGAGAGACAGATGAAAACTAGTGGAACTGGAAAACAAGGAAAACAAGTGCAAAAGTGAGCGTGGCTCACTAATACCCCCAACCCGCCTAGTGTGTCAGTAGTTACAAATTAAATAGCTAGGATAGGGTTAGGGTTTGAAAAATTCATTAAAAAAATGGAAAATTAATAAAAACTATTTTTTTCTTTTGACTGCACTGCTTCATATGACACAGATTATATGTACTAAATTTGAGATGAATCCACTGAATAGTTTAAGAGAAATCACGCAGACAAAGTTTTCGGACGGATGTTAGGGTTTGAAAAATTCATTAAAAAATGGAAAATTAATAAAAACATTTTTTTTCTTTTGACTGCACCCCTCCATATGACACAGATTATATGTACTAAGTTTGAGATGAATCCCCTGAATAGTTTAAGAGAAATCGCGTGGACAAAGTTTTCGGACGGACGGACGGAACCTTGGTATAACTATATACCCTGACATTTTGTCAGGGGTATAATTATAAAGTGTTGAGTTTTACTGTACTGTGACATTTATCACATGTTGAGATCTGAGTGAGTGAGTGAGTTTGGTTTAACGCCACTCTTAACAATATCCCAGTCATATCGCGATGTGTCAGCTTAATGTGGGAGGAAAGCCAGAAGTGATGCAGGTCTTAGACGTTTACCACGTTCAAACCCACAATCATAGTCTTCCTGCGTGCCCAAGGGACGCAACTCTGCACAGCAAATTGCAACGCCTTAGATGATTGGGCCACCCGTGCCCCCTGTTTGGGATCTGAGGCCATGGAGATCTGCGTTGTATCGCAACAACAACTATCATTTCTACCCAATGTATAGGTATTGTGAATAAACATACAGAAAACAACATGAATAAAGAACCAAACAAGTTGCCTAAACAGCATCTCCTGATATTATTTGAAATAGCCAGTGACCGTTCAGTCCCATTGCAGTATAATCCCACAAGTAGGTGAGAGTTGTAGGCATCTGAAGGTTTTCTAGTATAACAAACTTAAAAAAATAGGGATATGAATATTTTAGCAGATATTTTTATGAAATTGTGTGATCACTCTTTTCTATAAACAACATCTCCCAAAATATTCTAGATCCCTAAGTTTTTAGTATATATTCTATCAATAAGGTCTTGCTTAAAGTGTTTTAAATGGTAGTTATAAGGGGGGTTGGGGTGGGGAATTCTGTTTTCAGATCAGGTATTTGGGGTCTTCTTGTCTTTTGGGTACGACAATGACAGTTCAATGGCTTCTTTTGACCACGGTGACATATCATCTCGTTACAACAAGTAACATCTCGGACCGTACACGAAAATGGACAACTGTAAAAGTCTGGTGTCAGACAGAAGTGGACAGGTCAGACTCACCATATTTCTTAACATCATATTCTGTGTCCTTACTTCTGTTCCAATGTCAATACTTAGCTGAAAAAGAACAAACCGCCATTACACATGGTTAAAGGAAATACAACTAATATTTTAAGATAATGAGTGAGTGAGTGAGTTGGGTTTAACGCCGCTTTTAACAGTATTCCAGTCATATTGCTGCGTGTCAGCTTAATGTGGGAGGAAAGCCCGAAGTGATGCAGGTCTTAGACTTTACCACTTCGGTGAAACCCACAAGCACGGGTATGGTGCTGACAAACCTAGAAACATAATCGGGGCGAACCGGGATTCGAACCCACAATCATAGGTTTCTGGCGTGGACAAGGGATGCAACTCTACACAGCGAATCGCGGCGCCTTAGACGACTGGGCCACCCGTGCCCCCTTTTAAGATAATGTGTCAATGTTGCGTATCAAAGTGTTTTACTTATTTCTCAGTTTTCTCGTAAGGACAGATTGATTTAATTACAGAACATTTTGGTCCAAATGTCTACAGACAGGCAATGTGAGAACATGTTATGAATTGTGTTACACGTGTCAATGGTGGGGTGTACAGGTCTTCACAAGCTGAATGAGGAGGGTCAATGAAACATTCAGCTTGCAATTCCAGTTCACCCTGCTTTGAAAAATATATCATTTTGTGTTCACAAGTTACCATGGTTACAGAGACTTATTTTCAGTGAAATATTTTCATGTGACAGTATCAATTCATCATTGTTCATAGGTTCATTCTGAGATTAATTTCATATGCAGTTATATGAGCTCTGTACTGAAAGAGGGGGGCAGTCGGGTAGCCTAGTGGTTAAAGCGTTCGCTTGTCACGCCGAAGACCCGGATTCGATTCCCGACATGGGTACAATGTGTGAAGCTCATTTGTGGTGTCCCCCGCTGTGATATTGCTGGAATATTGCTAAAAGCGGCGTAAAACCAAACTCACTCACTCACTTTAAGCACCAGTCTTTATCTGGCATGACAGATTAACTATAGAAACATGATAGGATCGGGTGGTCCTTAACTTCTCTTGCGTAGTATATTAGGATAAACTGATTGAAATAAACATTATTCTAAAAAGTATCTAAACCATGTAAACAGCAATTTGAAATTTAAATTTTCAGGAAACCTTTTCATACAGTTTATTGGCTCTGGAAATGAAGCCCATCTTGCTGATTCGTAAATTTCCATTTGTTTTTTATGTTGCTTGGGATTCCTCAGCAATATGATGGCAACTTAAATAGTTGAGTGGACCAGACTATATCATGTATATGCTTGACATAATGTGCCTGACTACCCGATCCATTAATATGATTTAGTCATCTTTTATGACAAGCATAGATTGCTGAAGATGCATTCTAACCTAGAACCCACATTTGGGAAATATCCTTGGCATACATAGGTATTCATGAAAAATAATGATATAAGGAAATTCAAAATAACATGAGGCCACAAATTCCACTCACAGATTTGAGAGCCTTTACTTTCCCCGTCAAAGCATCCTCCAACACCTGGTTCTCGTCCTCCACCAGCTGGGCCTGGTTCTGGTACCCCATCTCTCCTGGAACAATCATCTCAGTTACAATGGTTACTCACAGGGTTTACCAGTATCTGGTACCCCATCTGGCACTGCTACCCATCTCTCCCAGTGAGAATTTCCACTTGTACACCTAAACCTGCAATACCCGACCACTGTGACACGACCATCATAAGGATTATTACTGAAGTGAATATCGGCTGTTTATCAAGGTATAAGCTAATAACCATGACAACATGCTTTTCCCTGAACTGAAGCAGGATCCTGAGTAGTTGACCCTAAAAGTAATGACTCCTATAAACCACATGCTTCTGCTTCATATCTGATGCTGTCAACCTAACCAAATATCACAGTCTTTTCTCTGGAAACATACATGATCTCTGTCAGGATCTGACAAACACTCTGATGTTGGTCCACTTTGAATTTTGTTCCTGCTTTAGTAGCTCTTATGGTAATATAATCGTTAAAATCATGGAGAGAAGAAAACCACAGGTCCTTGAAGCAGGATAGGGATATTACTGCAACACCTGACCCATGTTCATAAATAGTCTATCATAAACATAATAAACACCGGACCACAAAATATAAATATATCATTTATGGGTTGGTTGGTTTGTTGTTTTACACCGCACTCAGCAATATTCCAGCTATATGACGGCGGTCTGTAAATAATCGAATCTGGACCAGACAATCCAGTGATTGACATCATGAGCATCGATCCATGCAATTGGGATTGATGACATGCGTCAACCAAGTATTATTTATGATCAGGTGTTTCATATAAATATTGTATTTATATTTATGGGTCCAGTGTTTCAGTAATATCACTTTCCTCCTGAATCAAGTTCGTGATATTAGTACTATTACTGAAACAACAGACCTATATACAGGATGCAACAATCCTGCTTCAGGGGCCTGAAAACGTGAAAGAGCAGTCCTGGTATCATTAAAACCGTGTCGAATAAAATATTCACTTTTGCTACGACACTGATATTGAAAACTCCAAACATGACTACTCGTGTACAGTTATTAACTCACTCCAGACTTGGCCCAGGAAAGTCTCGTGAGTTTTGTGAATTTATCTAGATATCTACAGCACTGACGCAGAATATATCGAAAAGTGGTTTCATAACAAAACATTGAAATGACAAATACAAAACTCGAGATAGCAATATATATCTGGGTTCGTTACCTATATGTGTTCTTCTCATTTTGGCTGTTTTAAAACCTCACTGTGTCTTCTGGAACACACAGTATCTCAACAATATTGAAGTTTGTCTGAACGTCAAAACACCACACCACACGTGTACTTCCTGTGTAGCGCCACCTACTTCCGCATTCGGCAAGGGACGACACTCCCACCTATTTCACTAGAAAGATTTGCTTTTGGTTGAGTGCAATAAATCTTTTAGTGGTCACGCTAAATTCTACAACTACTACTAACAGGATAAATGAAAATAAATAATTAATAAACAAAATAACATAAGTTATGTCAGGCAAACGAACACCTTCAACCGTTGAACTTGATCTTATAGATCTACCGTTAGATTTCCCTCTTTAAGTATCAAGATTGGCAAGCTCGGTGATTTGGTTCATTGCGTGGCATCGTACCCTGATGTTGCTAATAATGAGCACTTGTTTACCTGCACATTGACCTAAGTGTAGTCCGCCTTTATGTATAGCTCGAATCAGAGAGTCTCTGCTCGAATATTGCTGACTGCAGTTAAAAAATGTACGTGTTAGATCCTAAACACAAACCTAACAATTGTCCCATAATTTTCACGCGGTTTAAAGGGTCTAACCTGCAACCTCTTGATTTGTAGTCCTTAATACTACCACTTGCTACGGAGATTGTTGACGTCACAAATGTCCATTATTGTAGTCACCATGCATGTATTATCTTAGCTTGTTTTATTTGAAAAAAAAACCACTATTTACACACTAAAAATACACTTTTTATACACTAAAAACACTATTTAAACACTAAACACACACTATATGTACACTAAAAACACTATTTACAAACTAAACACACACTTTACACTAAATACTCACTATTTACACACTAAAAACACACTATCTACACACTATGTGCTGCTTTTTTAAAAAGACAAATTATTATGTAACAGATCTAAATATCTACTCAGATATATTTCACATTTATATCATTTACATATAAGCCTACGGACACATTGTTGTCGTAAAAGGCGACTATGCGGCTAACGGGATCGGGTGGTCAGGCTCGCTGACTTGGATGATGCATGCACAGGACTATGTAACTACTTCTAATAAATAAATTCGCAAAAAACTCGTCTGTTAGTTTGTTTGTTATTATTATCAGTAACATGGTCCTGTGATGCATGTCATCGTATGATTCCTGTCCCAATTGCGTTGATCGGCGCTCGTGATGTCAATCACTGGATTGTCTTGTCCAGACTCGATTATTTACAGACCGCCGTCATAGAGCTGGAAAATTGCTGATTGCGTCGTCAAACAACAAAAAACATGCGGGCCCAATCTCATTAAAATCAGATCTAAGTTCTCGTTGCCGCTAAACAACTAAGATCTGATTTTAATGAGATTGATGCGGGCCCGATCCTATTCAAACAGGAAGGAAGGGAAGCCCTCAGTTGGGACGAAGCGTCTGTAGTGGAGTTGTCCCCCTTCCACTTCTAGCCGAGGATTCAATCAATCGTTAATCACAGTTGTCGCGTACGTTTCAGCATGAAATGTTAACTTTATCTTTTCTTTTAGGGGGACTAGACCCTGTAGTTAAACACTTTGTGTACTAACTAAATGGTATGTATATACAGTATAATTTGTGTAAATATAAAACAAGCAAAACGTTTCTCAAATAGTATGTGTTTCTTATGAACGAGAATTTAACACCTCCGTATTTCCGACTGATCATCTATGTTTTCAGGATTGCAAAATGTAATATTTGAACATGAGCTTGTCTCCGACCCAAGCCTATTTTCTAAGGAAATGTAGGTAACAAACAGTATATAAACATATAAACTCAGATTTGCTCATATTTCGAAAATATGCCGTTTTTACTCATTTTACCCATGCTTTTGTATTTGGTCATGACCCAAGTCTTCAACTTTCTATGCTCTAGAGAAAAGGAAGTTGTTAGTCATTTTAACATATCTATTACGTTTTATCTCAGTATATCTCAATAGGTTTTCCGTAACTTCATCTTCCCGAGGCAGGGGAGTTAACTGACTTTAAAAGTCCAGTTTAATTCAGTTAACTCCCTTGCCTCGCTACGATGCGTAATTTCAACATTGGTCAATTCCAGTGGGCAAAAGAAGTCCGTTATCCTACCTTGTCCGTCCACAAAGGCGTGTAACGAAGCAGGATATATGGTCTCAGCCATGTCATAGGACGATATATGAGGACTTCTATGAGGTATAGAGGCGACAAAATATGGTATTATGACACAAATTATAGAAATTAAGTAAGGGTAAGATATATGGATGAACAACTTCTTTATTACTACTAGGAGCGACGTTTCGGTGTAGGTTCTAACATCGTTATCAAACAAAGCAAGTGCTATACTTGATAACGGTATTAGAACCTACACCGAATCGTCGCTCCTAATAGTAATAAAGAAGTTGTTCATCCATATATCCTTATTTAGTACTCCAACTTTTAAATGCCTCTCAGAGAAGATAATTATAGAAATTGCCGGGGAAAAGAAAGTACGCTTTTGAAAATTGGATTTGACCAAAATTACAAACGTTATCAAAACGTTTCTAGGCTGATATATAACAGACACCAAAACACTGCAAACCTAAGGTCCGAAACACAGCTATGATACCCGTATCAAACACATCGCCATCGAATAACCATTTCTTGTAAGTTCCCTGTCTAGCCACCATCAAACATGGGTGTATACTTTCTTTTTCCCGGCAGTTTATCTCGATGCTCATTTTTCTATACAGGGCTCTGCCGAGCTTTCATTGTGTAAACCAGTCTAACAGTTAATAATGGGATTATGTTGAGTATGGTTGTACACGTGTGTTAGCAATATTCCAGACATTTAACCGAGGGATACAGTTTATCTCGATGCTCATTTTTCTATACAGGGCTCTGCCGAGCTTTCATTGTGTAAACCAGTCTAACAGTTAATAATGGGATTATGTTGAGTATGGTTGTACACGTGTGTTAGCAATATTCCAGACATTTAACCGAGGGAGACACAAAAACATTGCTTCCGACATTGTGCTCGAGTGTACATTTGAAAATTGAACCTTGGTCTTAGGAGTGGTCCTCCGGTAAATGCAACTCCCTAAACGACGACGACAATTTTTATAATGGTACATGTATACAGGCGAACACGATTAAACGACGACGACAATTTTTATAATGCATTATGGTACATGTATACAGGCGAACACGATTAAACGACGACGACAATTTTTATAATGGTACATGTATACAGGCGAACACGATTAAACGACGACGACAATTTTTATAATGGTACATGTATACAGGCGAAAACGATTAAACGACGACGACAATTTTTATAATGGTACATGTATACAGGCGAACACGATTAAACGACGACGACATTTTTATAATGGTGCATGTATACAGGCGAAAACGATTAAACGACGACGACAATTTTTATAATGGTACATGTATACAGGCGAACAAGATTAAACGACGACGACAATTTTTATAATGGTACATGTATACAGGCGAAAACGATTAAACGACGACGACAATTTTTATAATGGTACATGTATACAGGCGAACACGATTAAACGACGACGACATTTTTATAATGGTACATGTATACAGGCGAAAACGATTAAACGACGACGACAATTTTTATAATGGTACATGTATACAGGCGAACACGATTAAACGACGACGACAATTTTTATAATGGTACATGTATACAGGCGAACACGATTAAACGACGACGACATTTTTATAATGGTACATGTATACAGGCGAAAACGATTAAACGACGACGACAATTTTTATAATGGTACATGTATACAGGCGAAAACGATTAAACGACGACGACAATTTTTATAATGGTACATGTATACAGGCGAAAACGATTAAACGACGACGACAATTTTTATAATGGTACATGTATACAGGCGAACACGATTAAACGACGACGACAATTTTTATAATGGTACATGTATACAGGCGAAAACGATTAAACGACGACGACAATTTTTATAATGGTACATGTATACAGGCGAAAACGATTAAACGACGACGACAATTTTTATAATGGTGCATGTATACAGGCGAAAACGATTAAACGACGACGACAATTTTTATAATGGTACATGTATACAGGCGAAAACGATTAAACGACGACGACAATTTTTATAATGGTACATGTATACAGGCGAAAACGATTAAACGACGACGACAATTTTTATAATGGTACATGTATACAGGCGAACACGATTAAACGACGACGACAATTTTTATAATGGTACATGTATACAGGCGAAAACGATTAAACGACGACGACAATTTTTATAATGGTACATGTATACAGGCGAAAACGATTAAACGACGACGACAATTTTTATAATGGTACATGTAAAAAGGCGAAAACGATTAAACGACGACGACAATTTTTATAATGGTACATGTATACAGGCGAAAACGATTAAACGACGACGACAATTTTTATAATGGTACATGTATACAGGCGACACGATTAAACGACGACGACATTTTTATAATGGTACATGTATACAGGCGAAAACGATTAAACGACGACGACAATTTTTATAATGGTACATGTATACAGGCGAAAACGATTAAACGACGACGACAATTTTTATAATGGTACATGTATACAGGCGAAAACGATTAAACGACGACGACAATTTTTATAATGGTACATGTATACAGGCGAAAACGATTTAACGACGACGACAATTTTTATAATGGTACATGTATACAGGCGAACACGATTAAACGACGACGACAATTTTTATAATGGTACATGTATACAGGCGAACACGATTAAACGACGACGACAATTTTTATAATGGTACATGTATACAGGCGAAAACGATTAAACGACGACGACAATTTTTATAATGGTACATGTATACAGGCGAAAACGATTAAACGACGACGACAATTTTTATAATGGTACATGTATACAGGCGAAAACGATTAAACGACGACGACAATTTTTATAATGGTACATGTATACAGGCGAACACGATTAAACGACGACGACAATTTTTATAATGGTACATGTATACAGGCGAAAACGATTAAACGACGACGACAATTTTTATAATGGTACATGTATACAGGCGAAAACGATTAAACGACGACGACAATTTTTATAATGGTACATGTATACAGGCGAAAACGATTAAACGACGACGACAATTTTTATAATGGTACATGTATACAGGCGAAAACGATTAAACGACGACGACAATTTTTATAATGGTACATGTATACAGGCGAAAACGATTAAACGACGACGACAATTTTTATAATGGTACATGTATACAGGCGAAAACGATTAAACGACGACGACAATTTTTATAATGGTACATGTATACAGGCGAAAACGATTAAACGACGACGACAATTTTTATAATGGTACATGTATACAGGCGAAAACGATTAAACGACGACGACAATTTTTATAATGGTACATGTATACAGGCGAAAACGATTAAACGACGACGACAATTTGTATAATGGTACATGTATACAGGCGAAAACGATTAAACGACGACGACAATTTGTATAATGGTACATGTATACAGGCGAAAACGATTAAACGACGACGACGACGAGGAGGAGGCACGACGTGTGTGTGTCGTTATTCAAGGAGCACGAGTACAAACTTGTTTAACCTCTTCTCGACATTTTGATGTACATGTACCCTAATCTGCCAGAA